ATGTAAGTAACTTTTAACTAAACAGCACAGATTGTTTGTTTTTCTCCGCTGTGTGAATATAATATTACTGAATATAATATATATTGCAAAGACACAAGATAGTCGCGTACCCTGCTGATGAATCTCAGACTTAACTGATCCTTTGCTAACAAAAGCGCAATAATTTTTCACTTTTTTTCAATTTTTCAAAGCGCGCGGTGTAAAACGGGCCATATCTCGGAAACCTTTTATCACATTTTGGTTTGTTTTAATTTGATGGTAGGGCAAGAGTGCATTTTTTAGATACACCCCTGAACCTCCGCGAAATTCGGGCGTAACTGTCTCATGATATTCACTAGCGAAATCCTCGAAAAAAAAAACTAAATAATCGCGAAGGGTTCTCAGGATTTGACGATTAGAAAAGAAGCAAACTATCACGAAACGGTCACAGTGAGGTCGTAAGGCAGTGAGGGCGGAATTTTGCGACGGGGCAGAATTGCATCTTCAAGATCGACTCTTGCGTTAACAGAAGCCAAGGAAAAAATATCACAATGAGTTCATAAGATATGACCAGTTTTCCGCCGTAAGTTTTGAAAATTTGGAAAAATGGATAAACCTCAACCCTCACTGTTCTTAATACAAGTCACTTTCACTGTCACTTTCAAAACAGGATTGAAAATTATAAAATTTCAGATTATTCTTTATAGAACAAGATAATAAAATATATTAACTGCGTGAGGTAAAAGTTTAAAAGTAGGTAGTCGTTTTTTCGTGTTTTTCCCAGATTTGTCAATTGCCATTATCTTCTAAATTGTTTTTTAATATAGACTGCATTTAATTCTGGATTTTGGAATACGTTATTTATACGAATATGAGAGTAGTAGTCCATAATATTTTTTTATTGCATTAGATTGTATCAACAACATAAATTGTTCATAGTTCTCACTCGTGACTCCATCACTCAATCGGTGTTTGTGTACAAATAACATGTTTTTTTATCACGTTGCAACGCGTCCGATGTGCTCAGCATTGTTTGTGCTATTTCGTACTTAGTCGATTGTGCGCTGCGGCATGGTGTGCTCGCGTTTACTGGGGCGGCGGTCTTCGTGGCGACTTATCGCGTTTCTTGTGATTTTAAGTCGGTAGTTGAATCACAATTAGTTACCAAAGATAGGATTTAGAATTAACAGACGAGTGCGGCTTATAGTTACTGAGTTATCGCGCATGGAACCAAGAATTTCGTGGTTTTACAAAGTACGCACCACGTGTTTACCGTCAGCCGTCGGGTATCTTCCGTCGGCGAAGATTTTCTGGTGGTTTTGGTTAGTGTATCCATTTGATTATTAATTTGAATAAACATCATTTGTGCATCGTATGGAATATTTCACTTGCGTAATTTTTTATTGTTTTTGGGGGTTTGCGCGCAATCTAGGCGTCTCAGTAACTTCAGCGTGGCGTCAAAAGATGCGGCATTAAATTCTCCGTCGGGTGGTTTTAGTTTGTTGCAGGAACTCCCTCTGTAACCCGCAAGAATTTGCATAAAACTGGAAAATCTCATGGTTTTCTCGGCTTTGCGCGCAATCTAGGCGTCTCCGTAACTTCAGCGTGACATCAAAAGATGCAGAATTAAATTCTCCGTCGGGCGGTTATAGTTTGTTGCAGGAAATCCCCCTGTAACCCGCAAAAATTTGCATAAAACTGTAATATTTCATTGTTTTTTTGGGTTTACGCGCAATCTAGGCATCTCAGTAACTTCAGCGTGGCATCAAAAGATGCAGAATTAAATTCTCCGTCGGGTGGTTATAGTTTGTTGCAGGAAATCCCCCTGTAACCCGCAAAAATTTGCATAAAACTGTAATATTTCTTTGTTTTTTTGGGTTTGCGCGCAATCTAGGCTTCTCAGTAACTTCAGCGTGGCGTCAAAAGATGCGGAATTAAATTCTCCGTCGAGTGGTTATAGTTTGTTGCAGGAACTCCCCTTGTAACTCGCAAAAATTGGCATAAAATTGTAATTTTTCATGGTTTTTTGGGGTTTGCGCGCAATCTGGGCGTCTCAGTAATTACAGCGTGGCGTGAAAAGATGCGGAATTAAATTCTCCGTCGGGTGCTTACAGTTTGTTGCAGGAACTTTCCCTGTAACCCGCAAAAATTTTGCATAAAACTGTAACTTTTTATTGTATTTTCGGCTAGCATTTTTCGGTACCCTGAATATACGAGTAAGTCACTTCTACCGCTAGCTTCGTACGGTGCCTTGAATGGGAGTCACGTCTACCACTTTTACCGCTAGCATCATACGGTACCCTGAATCGAGTCACTTAGTAAATATATTATATTACGTGAAGTAAAAGTTCAAAAATATTGGCTAAATATGCCAAGATGAGGGATCACGTGAACCCGGTGTCCTAGTTAGTTCGGAATAATTTTCCCTGATGCGGAATTTAATTCTGTGTATTGAAATGTATTGGGAGAAAAATCCGTAATGCGAGTTATATTAAAAGTTGTCTGTTTTCACCGTAGTACTAGTACTTGTTGCGCTAGGAATTGTAGTTTTTTAGTATAACACGCGAACGCGGTTTCAAAATAAGTTCGTAATAATTTTTCCAGATGCACAATTTAATTCTGTATCTCCCTGTATTGAAATTTATTGCGATAAAATTCCGTAATATGAGTTATATTGATAGTTGTGTATTTGCGCCGTAATACTCGTTGCGCTAGGAATTGTAGTTTTTAGTTTTGTAGTTCACAATAAGTTCGTAATAATTTTTCCAGATGCAGAATTATTTTTGTATCTTTCTGTATTGAAATGTATTGCGAGAAAATTCCGTAACGCGAGATACACAAATTTTAATTATTTTTATATCTTACTTGATCGAGAATTTTTCAATCTTGCATAATCTACCATTTTCTGGCTGCTATCTCTTTTAGTTTGGAAGATATTAGAAAATCGTTGATAAAAATTTATCAAGCATCCCCCCCCCCTTGAATATGAATTAAAGTTTCATTTCTTGGATTTCCAATTTACCTAGCTTATTTTATAGAGAATTATAGATAGATAATTAGGATTAAGAGACTCTACCATTATCATATAAACTGTTTTTAAATATAGACTGAATTTAATTCTGGATTTTAGAATACATTATTAATTTATTCGAATAAGAGAGTACAACGTTCATTATATAAATATTATTTCATTGCACTAGACTAGACTGTGTCAACAACGTGAATTGTTTATAGTTCTCATTCTTGACTATTATCGGTGTTTGTGTACAAACAACTTGCTTTTTTATCGAGTTGCAGCGCGCCCTCGCGCTCAGTCTTGCTTGTGCTATTTCCTCCTTAGTCGATCGTGCGCTGTGGCGTGGTGTGCGTTTATTTGCGTGGCGGTCTTCGTGGCGACCTATCACGTTTCTTGTGATTTTAAGTCGGTAGTTGAATTATAATCAGTCACCAAAGATAAGATTTAGAATTAACAGACCAGTGTGGCCTATAGTTAATGAGTTATCGCGCGTGGAAACAAAAATTTCGTGGTTTTACCACGTACGCATCACGTGTTTACCGTTGGCCGTCGGATATCTTCCGTCGGATATCTAAAACAGGTAATAAAACATTTACTTTTGATTTTCTTTTTGTATCACCCTGTTTAAAAAATTTCCTTAGTGCTAAGTGAAAAATTGACAATCTTTATTGTTTTGGGGTGATTTTCTTTTTAAATTAAAGGTTTTTTTTGATAACACCCTGTATGAGAGTTTTCCTTGATGCCAGCAAAAAATTTGCAATCTTTATTGTTTTGGGGCGATTTTATTTTTAAATTAAAGATTTTCTTTTGGTAACATCCTGTATATAATCTTCCAGTAATGTCACGCGAAAACAGGGCACAATTTGCTATTTTCCAGTGTTATCTTTTATAATTTTGCAGCCGTTAGCCTAGCGCGGCTATACAGGTCATAAACATGTTTTAAAATGACGTCATATGTCTTGTAACTATTGAACATACAAATTATGAACTTATATTGTATTTAGTTTGTTAATAAAGAAATGTTAAAGGCAATGGCTGTGTCTTATGACTTGTGCACCTCTTCCTTCCTTCATTTCAGGTACAGGTTCCAACTTGTAAAGTATTTCTCAGTGTAGTAGTCGGCTCTGAGTCGTCAACACTTAGAAATATCTCTACAAGTCTTTATAAGGAGTTCTCCCACTCGGGGGATGATCCCCACTATAAAAATTGTTAAGGTATCCTGTTTAATTTGTGTGTTCCTTCTTTCATTTCAGCTACAGGTAAGAACTTGTAAGAATATTTTGAAGTGTCCCCTCTCTTGAGGCGACTTAAAAATTAGAAATATTTTTACAAGTTCTTAAAAGGATGTCCTTATAAGGAGTTCCCTCTCTCTGGGGATGATCCCCCACCATAAAAATTGTTGATATGCCTGATAATTCCGGGGATGAAGCGCAGAGACATCGTAGCTGTAGGATGGGCCGGGAGCAATGGACGAATTGAAGCAGTGATCGACCGTAGACTGTCGACACGACACGTGCCAAACAATTTAAAAATTCCGTCACCCCTATTCTCTCTTCTCTTTTCTTCCTGTACTCTCTTCTGCTTCTCTTCTTACTTCTTCTATACTTTCTTTCCTGCTGCTCTACTTGCTCCTCCACCATCTTCTACTTATTCCTATTGTTGCTTCGTTGTACTTTGCTTTTCAAGTTATTTCTAACATTTGAATCTTTAATTTGTATGGTATGCAACCCACATTTCGTAAATTTCTTATTATTTAATAAAATTGCCTTCTACAACTGAGATTCGATCCATGAACCTCACGCATGCTAGCATATACACATGCCACCTGAGCTACAACGCTCACTTATCAAACACTATTTGTTTCTGGTTTATATGTTTACAACACTATAACTTTATAAAATTATACGCGTATAGCATTACTCATAGTTACACGCCGCTAAAAAAAAATTAAAAATCCGAACCACTGTCTCCTAGGATGGCAGGTCTTATAAATAAGATGATAGAATTTTAAATAAAATATTAGGTATACTTATATTGCAATTCATACAAATTACAAGACTATAAAAATACATTTTTGGGCTGGGTAAACATCACAATGCAAGTGAAAGAAGCCATAATCATACCAATTGGGCTTTTGCTTGATAGAAACTGTTTTCGCACGCCATCGGCAATATAAAATTCTTAATGTCGAAAACATGCGGCATTGACTCGTATTGTCATTACCTCAATGTTTATTATTTTCAATCCAACTCTCAACAGATTCTTTGTTGCGCCGTAGCCAATTAATGTTATTGTTAACAGTTTCCAGAGCCCTTTTTCTTGCTGCTGCACCGGATCCGGCTTCTGGATTTGCCACATAGAACGCCAACAACTAAACATTCGGATTATATATAAAATATTTTTAAATTTAATAAAATGTTTGTTCTTACCTCTTCTTTTTGGGTGTTCGTGGTGAATTTGGCAGTAATGGCAGGGATCATGTTATGCAGATATCTGTCATTCAGTCCGAAACGATCAACTAATACATTCCAATTCTCTCGGAAATAAATCCAAACAATTTGAGTTCCCACTGGATTATTAGACATATATGAAATAGCCGAAGGGTAATCCTGTTTCCGGATGTAAGTGTCATCCTTAGCCAAATCGAGCAATCTATAAATACAAAAAATTAATACATTGTGATCATTAATTATTTTGGTATAATTACCGATGTATTAATGATTCGTCCTTAATGGCAGCCAAACCCGCCAGCAAAGAAAGTTTCTCACCAGCATCCGTTTCATCAGTAAACTTGTTCCACAGTTTTTCCCAATCTTGCTTATTACCGTTCACCATACCTGCGGCAAATATGGCAAATTACAATTAATAGGCAACAACACATTTTAAATGCAGCAGACTCTAATTGTTAATCTTAGTAATTATCGACAGGACGTGTAATTATTTCATTATAATAAATTACCATATTTGTAGACCAAGTCTTTCAAGTCAGGCGATGGTTTCACACCTTCGTAAAGATACTTTTGCAGGCGGCTCCTCGCTTCCTCCAAACAACTTTGTTCCTCCATGGAGCACGCAAGAGCCAGAACTTTCGAACGTACCAGACTAAAATACATCAATTCAATAAACATGCACTAACTGAATTTTTTTCTTCTTAATTTGCCGTACCGTGTTAGGTGATTATCTTCTTCAGTCTCGTTCCAAGAGTAATTGTTGACTGCTGGCATCACTAAGTCAATCACATATTGTTTGTAATCGGTGAAAGACTTCGACGAGAGCAAATAAGTCTTCAATTCTGTGAGCATCGTTTGCGCAACAGCCCAAGGAAGGTACTCCATTTCTTCGCGCATATATTTAGACAAGTTTAGAGGAATGTCGTAGGAAATTTGGCTGGCTTCGGCAATTCGGAAAGTCTCTTCCAGAAGATGAGCGCGATCGGCGATTGACAACTCATTGATGTTTTCAATCAGAGTGTTCCAAACCTCTGGTTCGTAATTTACACGATAGTAACCAACTTGGCGAGAGTTGAATTTGACAAATTTTCCAGTAGCATTAATGTCCACTACATTTCGAACAACGATTAGCATTTACTTTCAATTAATAAAACGTTAACATACCATGAGAATCAGCATGATTAAACCACGCCAACTTCTCCACGGGATCTTCATCAGTGAAGTACGTGACGGGTATGGTCCACTTGTATTTGAACGGAGTAGTTGCGTTATCAACAGCATTGGGATCAGTCAGGAAACGTTTTTGAGTTAGGCGGAAATAACCATCTTCGGTTTTCACAACATTCAAAATTGGGAAGCCCATCTGAACAGTCCATGTATTCAAATACTCGGTCAGATTAAGATTATCGGCGACCAAGTTTTGAAACTCATCAAGAAGATTTTGAGTAACAGCATTGGAAAACGCATACTTCTTTAGATAATTGGTGACACCTTGTTGGAAAGTTTCATTGCTGATGGAGTTCTCCATCATGCGTAGAATTGATGCGCCCTTACTGTAGGATATCGTGTCAAACAGAGAAGTAATCTCATCGGGGGTGGTCGCTTGTTGAACAATCGGGTGGGAAGCCAATGTTGCATCCAGTTTTAGCACATTGTGGAGGTCATCAAGTACAAATTGGTCCAACTATAATTTAATCATTATCAAATCTTAAATGAAAAGTAGTATTTATTACCATTTTCCAATCAGGATGAGCTGCGTCAACACCTTTATATTCAATGTAGGAAGCAAAACCTTCATTTAGCCAGATGTCATTCCACCAATCCATTGTAACTAAAAATAAGAATCCAATTGAAATTACTCGCTCATTAAAGCGTGTAATCTTTTTGTAATCGCTCACCTAAATTTCCAAACCAACTGTGCGCCAATTCGTGCGCGACAACGGTGGCAACACGCCTCTGATTCACAGACGATGAAATGTTCTTGTCGAAGAGGAGCGAGGTTTCCCTGTAGGTGACGATGCCCCAGTGCTCTGTCGCGCCGGACGAGTAATCAGGAATTGCGAGCATGTCTAAACAATCAGTTACACATTTACATTGAATGCCAAGGCACGGCATCGTCAGTTTAATAATTGATATTGCAAAAAAGAGGCAAGGCAAATGCAAAATTGCATTGAAGATTGCAACATTCAGAGTGCAACATAAACATAATCAACATAAACAAAGAATCGATTTGCATGCATTGTGCGCTAAACATTTAGGTAATCTTCACTTGCCTAGCTTGGGCAGCGGGAACGGAATTTGAAAGTAATCCAAGTAGAACTCCATGACCTTTTTGCCGACAAACGCAGCGTACTCGGTCTTCGCCAATTGCGCCGGTGTGGCAAACACACGGTACGGAATGTCTGCGAAGTTCGGCGAGGTGATCACGTCGTTTCGCGACTTAAAGTCACTGACGACCCAACACGCTAGATAGGTGGGCATCTTCACGCTTTCCTCAAAGGACACTCGGATACCATTTTCAACCTCAGTCTCACTCTGAAATAATTACCAAAACATACAAAACTCAATTCAAGGATATTCAATTATTTAGTGTCTTGTGACATACTTTGACGGGCATGTTAGATAGCGCGATGTAATCGGAGTCTTTGGGCTTGATAATGTGAATGCTGAAGTTGGCCTTCAGGTTCGGTTCATCGAAGCATGGAAATGCCTGGCGCGCGTAAGTCGGTTCGAATTTCGTTGTCGCAATCGACCTGCAAAATATTAGCACAGGTTTAATATCTAAATAAGAACAGTTATATCTGGTTACGTTAAAACAAGTTTGTAGATAATTTATTGTCTATTTAAAAAAGAAGTTAATCTTGCGACATTTGTGTCAATTGTCTTGGGTGTCAAGGCAAAACAGCATGCAAAAAATCTTCACAGCAAACGGAAGCTAGCTTTCTACATGTGCAATTGTGATTTAAACTTGATTAAAATGAAACTTATTTAGAATGCTTAGGAGTACGAGTTTTAACACTCGCGTTAAATTATGCAGAAAATAGACACTTTAGAAAATGTTCAACCGCAAAATCGCAACCATAATTATAAGTACATTCATTATAATAATAACAATCGCCATTCGCCTGGCAGATGGTAACGCTTCATTGAATTCGTAACTAAAGTATAAGTTAAATCAAGTTAAAAGATGATAACTGTTGATAATAGAATGCCTTTTTGTTTCCGTTATGTCCTCGAAGTTTTATCGGGACAACCGCAATTGTTATCGCTTAGTAACAATGCATCATAAGTTTGAAGAGTCAATTGGGTCACATTAATATCCAATTAGACACGAATTATGCACCTATTGTAATTCGTGCTTGGATTCCCCGCACATCGACCTACGCAAAAGTTGCGTAGAGGATCGCGACAAACCGCTGATTCTCACATTGTCACATTGCATCATAGCCCGAATGGTTTTAAACCATTTGAAACGCATTAAACAATTCAAATCGTATATATAACTCAAATAAATCGCTCGCAAGTAAAATTTATTCAGTTTGTTGTCAATTTCCGTCATGTTATTTGGCTAATTTCATGCCTACATGAAAACCGACATCTAAATTATTTTTACCTTGAACAATTATTCCCATTACGTAAAAAATTAACATTGTTGGTGAAGCGCAAAATGCGGTTGTTATTATATCCACGGGAAAAAAGTATGTACACTATGTACATGAAAGTAGCATAATTATCACTTAAACGTTGCTGTAAACATTCTTTGCGCATGATTACCTCTTGAGTTTCTTCTCCTTATCAAAGTACGAGCTGCGATAAAAGCCGACGCGATCGCGTAAATTCCCATCGAATTGTACGTGAATTTTGAACACCTCGTCGACGTAGAGATCGCGACCTGGGTAAATGGTGAGCGTCTCATCGATCACGTTCAGTCGAAATTCGTGCACGTCGACACGGCTCTCACCGCCGCCGCCAGCGTGCAATTGATGCATCTGCACCTTGCGAATCTTATTGAACTTGCTGTGCAAGATTACACTAGTTACGTTTTCATCAACAATTCGCACGGTGATATTCACCGAACCGTCGAAATTGGCGAAAACACCATCGTCGTAGTGTGGTCGCATGGTCAAATCATACCGCGACGGTATCACGTTTCGCGGCAAGCGTGTCATGTTCATCTTCTTTGCGTTGATCGCGGCGGAATTGGCTTCATTGTCTCTTACAGCCGCGTCCGGACCAACTTGAAATCGCACATCGTTGTAGTAGAAATGCTTGCCGATGAAAACGAGTGCAGCTATCAAACAGGCGCTCAAAATGAAGAAGAACACACAGCAGGAAATAAGCAAGTGCAGACACTTGCGAGACTTCTTTTTTTCGACCGGCGGTTGCAAATGCAGGCTGCGCCGGCGGCGCGAACGTCCGCTGCCCGACAAAGACATTTCACGAGTGGACAATTAAAATTTAAGCCAATTTAAAGCACTCATCACTGTTAATTAATCGAAAGAATAAAATCTGCTTTTTATATTTTTCACAACACAATGATATATTTTTAAGTGTTTAAACTAACAATAACAATTCGAAGCACGTTTTATTGACTGTGTCACATCACTGGGAACAAACAACACGTAGGTATCGGAATGCTATAAAATTCACGTGCCGCGAATAAAACCGTGAGCGTTCCGTGGAAGAAACGCACGTCGCGACTGTTCGGCCACAACTGACTCGACTCCGCTTGCACTGACTTCGAAGTATGTGTAATTACTTTTACAACTTCTACTTCTACAAATTTAACAAACGCGATTTAAATTGTCATGTTGTGATACTGGTAGCGCATAGTACTAAGACGTATGACTAATTGCAGGAATTGTAGCGACCGAAGTCAGGTTCACGTAAACACGGAATGAAATTGCAGCGACAAGTTATATATCCGTGGACAGTGCAATTCTGTTTAATTCACTCGCAAATTTTTACCTTTTTTGTTAGCATTCCTGCAAGTACAGTCATAAAGCAAACAGCATAAACAAATTTACTGTTAAAAATTGTTTGTTTACTTTTACGAAATTAATCCGCTTTAAGTGTCATTCAGTAGTCTATGATAATTAACACTTTGTTTACCAACCGGGCATAAAATTCGTATCTCGCTGGTATTCGACCCTAATATTCAACAAAAAGAAGTGTTTTCAAACGAGATAATAATATTTTGTTTTCACTTGCATTCAACGCCGTCACACCATTGCAAAACATGCATATTTACGCAGATGCTACCACAATAACCCAATAATAATAGCTATTATAGTTATAGAGTCAAAAGAAAAGCTATATTTTGCTACAATACAACTCTCATCTTCGAACAGTTGTTTGATTGTATTAATTGAGTCTATCCATGCACATCATAAGCAATTTTTGTAACAAAAAGAAAAATATGTGGTTTTTCAAGCGGAAAATTGTCATGTTCAATGGTGCTATTAGTATATTTAGTTGTTTCCTTGTTTACTTCTTGTGCTTTCATGCGGCGTTCGCAAAATTTCACTTTCCTTTAATTCCGTTCGGAGATTTTTAACTAGCGCTCGGCGCTCATTATAAGGTGCATTCGTAATTGTGTTCATTTGTAAGCAAAGATCGACCATCGGCGATCGGCCAAAGTTTCGTTGTTAAAGAGCAACTTCTCACTCTATTTATAGCGCCGATTAGATTAGAAAGTGAAATTCTCGCTATCGAACTGCACGCGTCTTATATAAAACATTGTAACTGTCGTAACTGGTCGTATTAGTGGTCAATTTATGTACGTACGTTTATGTACATAGACCCTATAATACAAATAATAATAATAACGCATATTATTTTATAACGCAGGTATCTTTCGCCATAAAGAAAATAAATAAAAACATAACAATATTATGAATTCTTTGTTTCAATCTAATTTCTTTTCGCCTGAGAATAAAATTTACGTCACTCCCCCACAAAAGTTATGCGCGTTGATTAAATAAGCGCAACTTAAGCATGGCTGAAGCCTGCCACAACCTCCGACGCGTCCGCAAACTGGCAAGTGGCAAACAATTGCATAACTCCTTATTTTATTACGCTCGTTGCCTTACAAATTATTCAAATTTAAATTCAACGTCTTGAACGGCGTGAAGCGAAAAAGAACGCGCTCAGACGCGTGCTAGAAGCGCTCGGTGTGAATAAATAAAGGCGTACTTGAGGCACAATTATATTAGGCACGTTAAGCATGCTCAAAGTGCAAGTAATATCGCCCCAATAAGCACAACTAAACGTATAATCTTAAACCACGAAAAGAAAGAAAGTGTACTCATTGAAGTCACGGGTATTTTACAAACAGGTTAAATTAATAAGATTTTAAAATTTAAAATTCAGACTTACCTCATGTCACCATCCGGCTTTTTGTACTTGCTGGTGTAGAGTCCCACCAATTTTCCCAGCATACTCCCAGAAAACTTGACGGAAATCTCACCGGAGCCTTTTTTGTGCGCTGATTGAATTTTAATCAATTGATGATCTTGATCAATCGTGAATGAAGATTTAGCACCGTTGACTTGGACATCTTCAATGTCTAGCCCATTGGTATGCAACAGCAATTCAGGAACATCTTCCGATGCTTTGATTTTAACACGAACATCACCGCTAAAATTTCCGGTTTTCAAGTTTGACGTCGATAAATGCAGAGTTAAATCGTAGCTGAGTGGTTTGACCGTTTCTGGCAAACGATACAAATCCATGTCTTTACTCATTTCTTTGATTGAAACGTTTGCACTGCAAAAATCTGCGAAAACACAGACAAATAATAGTATAAAGTTATCTTTCCACATCATAGCAAATTGAAACAAATAATTATCTCGTCGATTTCATCTTGATTTATAAGTCGGAAACTAGAAGTTTTTTTGTGTATGATAAGAGATATAATTAAATTTGAAGTATTAAACAAACTTACTTCGATTAACGATAACAGATTCTATTGTTGGTGATGATATGAGAGACGATTTTTTTAAAACACGTGTAAGAATCAATTTCTTCGGTAATACACGTGTGAAGTCTGAAATATTGATAATTTAATATAGGCAACCAACATTACTGTAGTTCTATTTCCAATCCTGCTGACTATCAACGCAATGTTTACAATAATTCTCCTCCATAAGTTTTCAAAACTATTAATTTCACTACATGACTCGACAAGTTAATTTCATAAGTACTCAATTTCGCTTATCATCTACGTGTTAGTTGCTATTTACCTATCACGGATCGCGTTATCAAACACTGCATTGCTGTGTCTCAATCGAGATTTCTCGTTTTCCCAACAATTAACGAAAGAATTTCGTGTCCACGGCCGTGGTTAACGGTATCTATCACACTCGCGGCTACGCTATATTCGATTACTTGAATTTTACTTACTTGCTGATCTATATTTTGATGGAAATCACTTTTAAGGTTATAATTGCGCCGATTCCTGCTATTTCACGTACTGCACTGCCTCCATACGGTCATAGCACATATATAACAAGTGGATTTGGTGCATGGTATCACAATGCGATAGACTTTTAATCATGTGTTTTTCTCAAGTGGCCATTTGAAGGCACAAACACAATAGCGCGTTTTTTAAAAGTTCAATTATTCGCAAAAGCATCAAGCTACCTGGATGATTCTATCAAAAATGAATTCATTATTAAATATCACATGAGGAATATGCTAGCAGGATGTTGCATTACTGTATTACTTTGTATTAATTAGTAATAACTTAATATTAAGGAAAGGAGTTTCAACAGGTTGGCATAATAAAGTTGCTTGCATAAAGTTTAAAATATTTCAACTTATTTTAAAACTGTAAATAAATCTTCATATATATAGAGTACCTGCTAGAACATTTTGAAAAATTGACTATATGTACACAAAAATTACTAGTTAATAAAAATATTTACATATTATTCGCATAATAGTCATGACCATAAATTGAGTATTATTTTATGTGGTTGCAATGTATGTACTTTTCGTTCCGACAGAAGATTTGGGAGCGGGAGTATGACGTGCGTATGAATGCAATGAAGCTCCTTGCAAAACTCCGGCCGCTTACAAAACTAATATATACATTACTGCATACCGTAAGTAAAATTTACAAATATGTTACACGCACACACACGCAGCTTCGCCTAGGCGCCCTAGACGCACGCATTTTACAAAAGTGGACTAACGAGGCGCCGCTCCTCAATTACAAAAGCCCATCGAGTGATATAAAATCGCACATAGATCAAAATCACATTAGTTTCCCATACTCCCAGCGCTCTTCTCGCGACCTCTTTGGACTTGTCCTTGCATGTATTCGTTAATTACGATTAATATTTAACTACGCTTACTCGAAGGAAATCAAAGGCAAATCTCGAATCTACCAGTCTCAGCGAATGCAGTACTCATATTGGACTCGAATTCAGAGGATACCGTTGGTGATGTACTGATAGCCATCGTACAGCTTCGTCGACAAGGAGTGCATGCTATCCTCGACCATGCGCTCCACCTCCAGCTGCATCTGCTCTTCGGTGAGGTTCGTCAGGAAGCGCTTCTTCATTTTCTGCACGGTGGCGGCACCTAGCTTGAAGCATGGCAGCAGCGAACCGGAACGCATAATCTCAACGATCGGAATGATTTTATCCTGGTGCTTTTTGACGGCGATTAATCCTTGCAGCATCAGAATCTTAAAGTATTCGAACATGTCAGAGCCGACTCCGCCCATGACTTCGACAAACTCGGGCGTCAGTTTGAAAGGAGATTTTTCAAAGCCTAGGTTTTTCGGCGAAGTGGAGAGAATGAAGCCGAAGTCGATGTGGATCAGATGACCCGTCGAGCTCAGTAGAATATTTCCGTTGTGTCTGGAATAATAAATGACACTCATAAATTTACAATTCTCAAGTGGATAGGAGGGCAAACTTACCTATCCTTGACCTGCATTAAATACGAGATGAGGCAATATGCGGCACAACTATGGACGAAGTTCCTTTGAGCTGTGAGGAAGGCCTCCGATGTACACGGTCCGTACTCTCGGATAAAATACTCCAACAGCGAAAGTTGTGAGTTCTTTTTGATTTGATGCAAAGACACCGTGTTTAAAATTGGTTCAATTAATCCACTGTCACTTGATAGACATAAAATTCTATAATAAAGATAAAATCTTAGTAAACTCTCTCAATTTAAAGGCAAAAAATCTTACTTGTATGGATGAACCCATAATGAAACACATTCCATTTCCCATATTTTCTGGAACATTTGTAACAGTTGCGAAGCCATCAGCTCCTGCCGTAAATCATCGCCGCACTTTACAATAACGGAAAGCAAAGTCCAGGACGATAAATGCCCGTAAGGTGACGCCTCGCGAACTCGTTTTTCTTTATCCTTCCACAGTTCCTTCAACGCCGCCGCGCTTGGATCCTTCGGATCGTGCGTGAAACTTTTGGTTTTGTCTTGATGTACCCAATCAGATAGTCGTCGACGGATGTCGCCTGCTTCAATGAAGTGCGGATGTTCACGTGAATCACTCGATTCTTGACTGAGCTGCGAAATCGTATCGCGCTCGATCGATTTCGTCTGCGTCTTGCAGTACTGCAGCGAGATTTCGTCGTCCTCTTGGCTCCAATCGGGGTCGTCCTCGCAGCCCATGCCGCACATGCTAAACGCAGACAGCGAAGCTGTATCAGCTCCCAGGTTCTCTTCCGAACGAGTGTGTCGCAAAGAAGATGTCATTATCTTAGTTGGCACTGGGCTGGAGTACAAGTCGTCAGCTTCGAGCGCTTCGACGTATATAATATAAGGCGCCTTTAAGCGAAAACAGAGGTTGTCAAGATTTTTGCGAGTAAATATTTGACGGAAATTCTTTTACCTTATCCTTAGAATTCAACACGGCGCTGACTTGAGGGGGAATGCGCACAATGTGATGCGGCGCGTCGCTGGTAAGCGGCAGCCAGACGCGCGCCGGCAGATTGAGATTAAGCATAGTCAGTTCAGCTCTCAGTCTTGTCGTTTTCGCCTCCTTCGTCGGTATGGAGCTCAGCAGTTTGCCTATCGTAATCAGTGCTTGCATGAACGCCAATTCGGGATCTAATCTAGGTGCCTAGATTAATGCAACAAAGAAAACCAAGTGTTAGTCCTGTCTGCGGCTACAAGGATAAAAGACACACGCAAACCCACACGTGCGGGGAGTGATGAATTACTTACGCCGCAGGTGCATTCAGTCCGTTCTCCCCTGAGATCGTTCACGACGCTCTGACAGCTATCAAAACAGGTGCAGCCGTTGTCGAAAGCTCGGCCGGAGCTTAAATCGCCGATGTACAGCTTGTTGGAACTAGAGCATCGCTTCATTCCGCTAACAAGCGTCGAGGCATCGCTCTGTGAACGTTGGTGCGTCTTCTTTACGGCGGCCAACGCCGGCACAACGAGTTTATCGCAGGTCGGCACCACTGGGCATGTGGACGGTAAGCCCGGTTGGTTTGACGGTGGCTGCGATTTTGACTGTCTAAACTCGTCGGCGAGGATTTTGTCGCGTAATTTTATGCCAAGCGGCTTTTTCTTCGATGGCACAGTGGCTTCCGAGCTGTAGGCGTCCAGCAACCACGCGCATTTCAAGGAAAAATCGACGGACTTTCGACATCTGCAACCGAACCAAATTCGTTAACATCTCATTATACAGTACACACATTTAAAGAAGTGCTTACCTATGGACTAGATATGGATGAATAACCTCGGCTACATCATGCATCTGAATGTACATGCACACCAATTGTGGCAAGTAAAAATCCAGATCGCCGTCGTCAAAGTTAAACATCTTATTTGCGATGTAGCTCTGCACTCCCGGCTCCTTACTGTTGAAGAGATAGTGCATTGCCATGTGAACATTAAAAACGTCGCATTCGAACATCCGTAGCAAGCCGCTTTGTTTGGGCTGCTCGGTGGTGATGGTCATCGGCTCCGCATCAATTTCCTCCTTCGTCAGCTCATCCGGCTCGTCGTAGACGTTCACGATGGTATTCAGAAGAGCACAGTCCTTGTTCAGACTCTCCTGACTCTGATTGTTCGACAGGTATTCGACGCTAGATTCCCGGGTGCCTGCGCTTTCACAGTGGCTATCGCTAGAACCACTGTCGGAACCGCACAGGATGCCCGAGTCATCGCTGCCTAGAGACGCCAGTTCGTCGCGTTGCTTGGCTTTCGCCTTCGACTTTGCCTTCTCGGCGGCGCCTGCCAGCAGTGTGGCGGCAACCGACTCACTATCAGGGCTGGGTGTCACGTCCACTTCGGGAATGCGCTGGAGCGCTGAGTCGAGGCTACGGTTGCGATGATGCAGCGTGCTCGTCGAGACGGGGACCTGCGGGACGGGCGGTAGCGGGATTCCCATCGATCTGCAATCGCAAACACAAATACCATTATCCCACCGCACTCAATGCACATGAACACAAAACCTTGAAGCGCATTAGAAACAGCGCAAACAGAAATTAAAATATAAAGAGAGAAAAAAAACACAGATAAACACAAATGTTAGGTGCTGTGCATCCTGTTTTCACAATTGAAACGCGTCAAATTTTGACATACCGATTAACTTATCTCATGCTTTTACTTTTACTCCAAAGACCTGAATTTTCAACCAGCGGAAACGGAAACTTGAGGAAAAAACCTGTTCACGTCCGATGAAAGGGAACTAAACTACGACGTAGACGCTTATCGTCGAAACGAAAAATGCGATTTTTCAATGCCATGGCGTTTGGCAAATTGCTGTTATCTATGCACGTCGGAGTACCCCATACTTCAATTGCCTCCCAGGTGTACGTTTACAAACACGTGAACCGAATGAAAACTGCGCGAAGCACGTAGCGCCGCATTAACAGGTACTCACATCATAACAGGTACAAATATAATAGATAAAACATTTTCTACGTACATAACTAACAAGTTGAAGAAAAGCAAACCATTGCTAGAAAAGTCACGTTGTAGACTGGTGTTGCCGACATTGCAAAGCAATGAGTCATCGAATTTCAGCAGAAACACGCTTGTTTGTTGAAATAAATTGTATTCCTATTTGCATCTATATTTACTGAATTAGTTGGAAGCAGTAAAGTAGTAGATATCGTCTAGATGCCTAGAAGCAGCATTTCGAGCACACACAATTCCTAGTTTTCCAATATATTCAGCACATTTCATCCGACGTCAGAGCGATAACAACACGGCGCCTTCGCATTCGACTTCAAAGCGTTGTACGTAATTGAAACGTAATTACAGACGCGAGGCGCAATTAATCGCGCGAAACGTTTCAGTTTTGCAACAATTGCGATCGCTGCTAAGCACACAAAACACCGTGGAAACTTTACGAACTTCTCGCGCGCGCTTATCTCGAAAATCTCAACCGGCGCAAACGAAACGCACAATCGCACAAAACGAACAATCAAACGATATAATCGCAATCGTATTGCGACAGCAAACACTAGCGCACGCGCAATAATCAACACCGATAACACTATTAATTCTGTATGCGCCGAACAAAGCCAAATAACATTGAAAAAATAATAAACACAAGTAATTCTTCAATTATTACGTCATTATCACAATCGCACAAGTAATGAATAAAATTGATTTGAAAATAATATACTGCCAAGTTATTAAAATCCCATGACCAAACGAAATGATTGGTAAACGGCTTGCTATCAATGTTTATACCTTGGTAGCCCGTACATGGGTTCACAATGAAACAATTGATAAGTGTATGACTAATGTCGAAATGCAATAAGCAATGAATGAACACTGTCGATCTTATCGCTTGTCCTCACCGAAACAATTAAATTATTCGCACAATCGTCCAATAGCAGAGTTACATATTAATAATTGAACGAATTAATTATGAGAACGTTTCGTAAAATTGATAAGCAATTATTTAGACCCACATAAAAAAGCCAGGTCAAGTTGATTTGATTTCAACAAGTAAAAGTTGTTCGCTTCGCCGGAAACGAAATCCTGAGACTAGACTTGCAGACATTCACAAAAAAAATCAAATAAATTAAAAAGAACGCGAACAGTATATACATACAGGTGCTCTAACAAAGTAAAAAGTGAAATCGTCGTTTCTCTTTTTTAATAAGCACTCGCTCTTGTATGTTATAACATAAAACATGAAGCACACAGTGTGACTCGTAAAACCATATATTTTATTGTTTGACGTTGTTGCTATAATTAAACTTATTCACAAGTAGCAAGTAGTGCACTTACCGAAAGTCGAGGCTGAGATTCCGTTGGTGATTGCTCAATCGGTTGCGCGTGGTGGTGGCAGCAGTGGCCGCCGCCGGCTTGCCGTGGACGGCCGGCACATCTTTGAAGATGCTTAATTTGACGGCGTGATGGTGTCGTTGCACTGGCGGCGCGTCGATGCACGACGACGCCTGCACTTGCAGCTGCGGCATATCCTAGGCGATGATGCTGGTCAAAACTCACGAGGTGGAAGCGAGGAAGCGCACGATTAATGTATTAACATTAACAATGACGTTTGGAACAAGTCGTTGGTAAACACGAATGTTTCATCATTTTCGTTGGGTTACCGATCACTAGTGCAGCACATATACAATTTGTCGTTTGCTTGATCAGACTTGGTGACTGGCTGTTTTTAGCGATTGTTTCACTCCTCTCACGACGTGTGCTTCGTTCCGGCGCCGTGGCGATGTACTTGAACTAGTAATACGTCTGCCGGCTGCCAAACAGCCGAGAAACCGAGAGCGGCGCCCGTTAACTGCTGAGCTGAAACAAACAAAAGATTTCGAATGAAATTAGTTAAACATGTGGCGGTCATAAAACTACATGCAAGTTTTTCCCCACATGTTCACCCACATAAATAGATTTTTTTCTCGAGGATAAAGTAAATTATAACGTTTTGCGCTTGATTTGCATGTGCCCAGTTAAACGTATTACCAAAAATAATAAACCCACTAATCAAACTCGAAATCTAAAATTGTGTCTAACTTTTTATGCAACAATTTAACATAAGTTTTCATAATTAGATGTAAAACTTAGGTAGAAATCTACATCTGAAAGAATTTTATCCATAGCGCAAATAGTTTTCAAGTTATTAATTATTACTCAAACCAGTGAATGGAATGTGTCGCTCATCGCGAATAAAGATGCAATTTTACACGGTAAATATACACAATGGACTGATTTTATGTATCGCCCCAATTTTATTCACTTGTTTTCATTTTAAAAATCCTTTATCGGCATTGCGTTGGTGTCACCCAGTTGAGTCAATCACGAACTAAAATCCGAAATGACTCATAACTCACGTAACAATATGGAAAGAGCAAGTTTTACGAATTTGCAATTTGAACGCCACCATATTTTTGCATCATGCTTCACACACGCTCCTAACTTTGTGAACGTTGTAAACTGTTTCCCACACTCTTGATTTAATTATCGTGTTTGTGCACGCCGAGCAGAAAATAACAATTTTGCAGTGCAACTATCGCCTAACTCAAAATAACTTATTAATTGCATGACAAAAATAGTACCAGGTCATGATAGGCTATCGAATATACGATAATCAAGGCACTTCATAAATATTTTAACCGAATTCACAGTCGCACCTGCGGAAATTAAAACATGCCTAAATATTATAAACGATGTTATCACCTAAGCTCTAAATATTTACATTGTAACAACACTACTTATCGTTGGCAGCATTTATCAACGGACTCAATTCACCCGTTCGAATCCCAATATGTTACCGTTGTTCATTGACTGATTATCGATCATTGCGCGTAAAATCGCGACATGACCTACAAACGTTACACTAACGTATAGGGTGGCGACGACCGGTGTGCAACTAGCCTCCACTGGCCACATTGGAAACAAGGGCAATTTAATTAAGCTGTTGCCGTGGGTGCGGTTTACTTTTCCATTTTCCCACTTACGCTTGCTTCTATCACCATCGTGTATCGGGGTCGCTTCTAATTCGAACTTCTCACCTTCGCGCGCGCACATGCCTGCGCCCTTAATAGTGAAAGCGCGCCTTTTTTTCTGTTCGAAGATTTACGCCGTCGACCTCGTTGCACGTGCACGCGCGTAAAACCACCCCTATTAATTTTGCGCGCCACTTGGAAAACACGCCGGACGGATGGCGCGGGAGAAAGGGAGCCCATTAACAAGCAAAACAAACTATAACTCTAATATCGCGTATTACAAGCCACTCGTAAATGCGGCCAGATAGTACTCTACGTAATTAACACGCAAAACGCGATGGGCGGGCAGCAGGAGAACTCATAACGAACACGAATCGCACACAATGCCTGAAATAATAAAACAGCGCGAGGATGAACCGCCAACGAATTACAAACACATTTCGCATGGCAGGTATAATATACACTCCTTACACTCCTTGCTCTCGTGTGAATTTTGAATGTTTGGTGGTAACTATTCGCGGCGCCCAACTGTTGTGATAGCAATTTTGGTAAATTAACGAAACGAAATTCGTGGCTCGTCGAAACAATGCGCACCCAACGTTTGGGACATCTGCGGCTGTGAGCAAGTGTGGCGTGAATTTCGAATAAGAGACAATTCATACTTTCTAAAATGCAACCTGCGGACCGCATTCAAAAGAGATAATCACATTTTTGTGCTGGGAATGTTAAACATTCACATTTGCGTTTATATATTATTTATCAGAATGAACTTTAACACGAAAGCAAGGCAAATCAAAAGCACCGCCGTACAAATTCAATTTGTGTAGACAAAACAAGATTTTTCCATTTATTTTCTAGCTTTGCAAAATCATATTTGCTCACATCCAGGCTGGAATTTATTATTACGTCCTCTTCACTCTCACATTCCCAGCATCTTCATCACTTGAGAGCATTGTATTCTCAAGTCGTCGCGCAGTGTTTGAACTAAATAGCTACAATACTACAAGGAATATCTTTTCATGAATGCATATGACACCCGAGTACATTTAAACTGTCTTTTTGTCTCGAGGAGCCCTCCAGAAACTCTCAAGACTCCACTTTTGTGTAGAGTGGTGTTGTATAGCATTAAATCTAATTAAAGGCTTTTTGTGGTCCAATGATTTCCACTCTTGCTTTCTTCCTCTGCCTTACAATAGCTGGGTGTTAATTGGCCCCAAGTATAACATGTTTCTATTCACATCGCAGCGTCAAAATAAATAAAACGATTGTGCGCGCGTTTAAAGCACGCGCACACACTGTGTGCATGTATACACAATGAATGCTAGCCTACATTCAGCCTCGCTTTTGTAACTTTTCTAATACGTATGCGCATTCCTCGCATTCCATTCATTCGACTGCGCGCTCAAATTAACAAACAACTAATTGAAGATATATATATATATGCGCGCAGTCGACGGAAAGATGCACCCAGCGACGGGAATTTAATCTGTAAATAATAGACGCGCTCACAGCAATTACAGTCGCGGCAAGCGCCAATGAGATAACAGCTGTATTCGGCTACAAATGTAAGTTTGCTAAGCCGGATGATAAACTAAACTGTGCGTTCTGATAAGTGCATTTATGCTTTCAATTCAATAAGTGCGTGTCATATGAATATGAAGACTGATTAGAGAAGAGATTAGTTTTCATTGATGCCTTGAAGGCGGCAGGAACGCGTCCTGTATGAACGCATCTGAATACAAATAACATGAACGTCTTCAATGCAGGCGCACGCACGTACATCGTGTCTCGACCGGCACGAATAGATTGCTGCAAGTCTTCACTTCCGTTACTTGAAATGTTATTGCCGAAGCCAGGCCAGGCGCGCAGCTTTTGCTTGCATCATAACATTACGTTCTCATGTGTATGTAGATGTATAAATTCCAATGCCTGTTTCATATATGAAAAAAGTGTGGAAATACAAAACTCTTGCATCGACTTACTGTGGGTTTGTTTGTTTTCAGTATCCAATATCACAAGCAAAAGCTCACAAAACTGTTGATACGCAACGAGAAAACGAGTGTATTGCAAATATTGTTCTTTTTTTTCTGTCGTGGTAGCAATCCGATTTGCACTTGTTTGGTTGTTGATTGTTTGACGCGGTTTTTTAAAACTTGTTGGTCCAAAATAGGTTACCACGAATAGGGTGCGGAAGAGGAACGACCGACGCGAAACGAGCCCGTATGGTTGAGTGAAGAGGGGTTCTTCTCTCTGGCTACGCGGCAAACGTGCCGTGCGAATGTTGAGGCGCCATAACTACCAACCTCGCCGCGTGTCGCTGCGTCTGCGGGCTAAGCAGCTACTGGAAGCGAAACGGGCGCGGGCAAGCCTCGCGCGCGCGGCCGGCGTGCAAGCTGCGCGCAACGATCGGCCCCGCGCTGCACGCGAAGGCATCGTCATCGCGCGCGTCACACATGGGTGAGGTGAGCGTTTGCGCAGTGAAGCCCCGCGCGCGCGCTCGCATTCCTCGCCCAAACCCGAAACACCCGAAGAATCTCGAACACTCTGCGTACTCCAAACACGGGTGTTGTATGTGTGTCTCTATGTGTGAATGCAACGCAAAAGTCGCAAAGCAGATGCGTCTGTTCACGTTATCCGCGTGCCGACGGACGGCTGGCGGCAATCATCACACTGCGGTGCTGCGATTGTAGCAGCTGCCACCCGAAAAAAAAAGCGCTTTCGTCAGTCATCACGTAGGGCGTTGCTGCTTTCTTTGATAGACACTGACAGTCGACCCCAACGAGGCGCGGCTAACTACTACACGCCGCGATAAACGCGAGGGTATCAACAGACAAAACGCAGGATGTCGGATGTAGACGAGGCCGTGTCGGAACGCCGCTGAAAGCCGAAAATCGACAAATGTATACGCACCAGCGTAGCGTAGCTTACCACACCAAGACGACATTTCAACGTGGTTTACATCCCCCTCTAAAAAGCCATTCAATTAAATTAACGTGCGCTGGGGTAACGCACGCCTGCGATGTAATGCGATATAACGTGATAACGATGTCAGATTAAATTTATTCATATCGTGTGTAGTTCTGGTTCTGGTCTTACCCCTATAAAAAATAAGTATACCCACAGCACGCGCAACAAGGGAATGATGCCGTGACCTAATTCAATGTAATTGTTTCTTTATGGCGACAATAAAGCCTATTTTCCGTAGCTGTTCTGGCCTATTTTTAACATTTCCTCCAAAAAGCAAGAGAAAAAAGCACAAAGCAACGAACGGCGTAAATCAAAAATAAATATTTGATGTGAAAATTCAGCATTGAAATTCATTGCATTTTCGTTATCGCATCGGGCACATGTCCACACGACGCCGTAGTAAAACGTGACACGGCGGCGCGTCGAGTGAAACTATGCGGGCGATTCAACTCTCAACTCGACTTCTTCGGTCAGTTCACGTTAATTATATCAAAGGTTCATGAAGCGTGCGATGCACCCAGCCTGCCTGCATCCGCGCGTTTCCAGTTTTCGAAGGGGAATGAAAAATAACCACGTTTCGAATGAGCGACGTCCGTGTGAAAATCGTACAAAAATGAATTCTTTAATTTTGCCGCCGGCAAGACGCGTCCTTGCTTACATTACCTACTTATTGCATGCACGTCGTAATATCCACGCACATAGATACACAAAAAACACCACAGCATAGCTAAAATGCAGAGTGTATCCGAAATATACCTGCTGCTACATAATGTCATTTTAATCGCTGCAATTCCGGTGGAAACGCGCAAATAATACACAAGATTAATTCGCGGTAGGCACATTGTTACAAGATTATCGTGTGATTTATACCATCCGTAAGACAAGCGCACAATCAGCTTAACGACGATGTATATGTGCATGATATCGCAGTTTAATTAATTCAATTTTTTCGTAGGCTTAGCGCGCCTTTAAAAAACGGAAACATTCGTTATAGTAGGTAATCATGTAATCATTTGCGCTGTGCGTCGTCGATGGTGGTGGTGCTGAATGTAAATAATTCAATGTGAGATTGAACAAGCGCTTTGTTCCATTTTAACTTTTCTCATGGTTTGTTTGTGCGCGCACGAGACGCCTAAAAGTCGAATAGATTTCGTGCGCATTCTTTAACGCGAACGTTAATTGTATTCATTAAAATCGGGGCGTGTGGCGTCGTGTGCACGTACTCATCTTCAAAGTCATACTGGGAACGTGCTCGAAGGAAAAATTAAATACGACGGCAGTTTAAGAATAAAACTTTCATATATAAATCAAAATAACAGAGTTTTAGAGATTTCACTAATTTTATTAAACACTACAGCATGATTCGGCATACTATGCACCATGTACGAGTATAATAAAAATAGTGAAATCCCTAAAAGCCTGTTTTTTATTAATAAATGAATTATGAAATTTCATCAAGTAAAAACTTCAACAATTCGAATAATAGTTTCTTGGATTTTTATTAAGTTCGCGGAATCACTCACCAAGTAATCATTAATTTTCGTTTTATAAATGAAAATTCATGAAAAATTCTGAAAATTTGATGATTCATTTCCATGTTCAACTGAGTTGTTAATTTTTTAAATTTAAATTTGAATTCCCAACTCACTTGAAAATGCTGAATAAGCGAAACCTAGAAATAAATCTTCAAATTTTCAGACTTGTGTTTATTTTATGAAAGTGGGCTAAATATTTTGAAACATACCCAGTATAAAAAATCAAATAGGAGTGGAAGTTCTTAAAATGTTTAAAGAAGTACACAACAAACGAACGGAAACGCCGAGACACGCCACGTTGATCAACGATCAACAACAAGGCAAATAAAGGTGGAAGAAGATGAATATTTATATAATTCCCAGCCCTTCTTGAAGTCCGACTGAGTCGGACCCTGGTAGAATAAAGAAACGGAAATCCGCGTAATGGCAGTCCCACACTTAAGTAGATATGTACATATCAAATACTTCCAATCTCAATGTATACCTACTTGGAAGTAACTTATAACTTATAAGTCGACCTAAGCCATAAGTATGTTGTAGGTAATATTAAATATTAAGAAATCACTGGAAAGTTCTAATATCAGTTATTCGATTACGTGAATTCTTCGAGTCGTAGAACACTTAATTTCTGCAAACAATCACAGTTATCGCAGCAGACATGCGAAATGGTGATGAAATTAATTGTTTTTGAAAGCTTGGGCAAGTAAACAATCATATCATTCGTATAAGTCGTTGCCCCAGCAGTAGAACAACAGACATTTCAACATATTAGTCGAATAGCACCTTTCGGGGTATATACCGCACCTTGCAATCAAGCTCAGTAATAATTTACAGTATTTTACAACAACATTAATGCAGGTATGAGTATAGACAGACAAACAACGTAAACTCCTATTTGATTTATGTATCGTTGTCGTGTAACAATAATAGCTGCATTAATACCAACATTAATATTAAGTTAAAGCCTTTTATAGGTAAGTTTATCACCGAGAAATAACTTTTATTTATTAAAATTTACAAATCGTATAAAAACACGTGACTCTGCAAGCTGTAAACGCTTTCTTTTTATCGAGAAATAAAATAGGTACTAAAGCATATGGGAATTGAGTTTACCCCTAGCTAATTTAAAATAATTAAAACTACATAAATTCGAACGAAAATATGCTTATTATGTAAGAAATTGCACGTTTACGTAACTAGTTAAGTTATATATAAATGTATATAATATATAAATAGCGCCGTGCTACCATTTACCGTACTATTATTTTGTTTATTGCTATTTTAATACTATTTCGTGCCATTGCTATTACCCCCCTAGATTCACCGTTTTACCCCTGTGAGGGTAATAACCCCCAGGTTAGGAACCACTAAAGGCCATAATCCTTATGCGTTTACTTGTTTATTTGGTTGTTTTTAATATAAAAATGAATCGCAAAATTTGTTGGTAAGCGCATAACTCAACAACGCCTAGTCTAATTTGGCCAATTCTTTTTTTTTAAATGTTCGTTAAAGTCCAAGGATGGTTTTTACGGCGAGAAAATTTTGAATAATTGCCGGGAAAACCTTAAAGACAGCCCTTTTCTATAGGATAAAAGTTGGCATTGAGATTCAATCATAGTTATAATTAAATAGTTGAATCCGAGATGGCGCGCTAAAGTGCATTATTAGCAATTCTTTATATAATCAATTTCTTTAAAATATAATTGCGAATCTTATTGATCGAATTGGCACATACTATGTCTAGAAAAAGGGAATAATATCGAATTAAATTTTTATTAAACACTACCAGGACGAAGTCGCTGGCAAAAGCTAGTTATTTATAATTGACAACTTCTAGTCTAAAACATTGTTACAAATATCTGCAGGGCATTCAATCGAAACAAATCTGACTTTTGCATTTTTCAATGTTTTCAATTTTTTACACGTTTTAGTATTTTTTAACTAAATTTAAAATTCCATTTACAAAATATGCAATTTATCTACAATTTCTATGCATTATTCAAAAATATTTTATGCCATTACAACCTGAAACCGTTTAAATAAATACACAATATCATTCAACGCCACAAATGATCCCAAATAAATCCGATGTCGAATGTTTTCCCAAGCTATGAAAATAAAAACGCAAAAATAGCTCCTAATACCAAACAGTTCGACAACGAAAGAATGCGTCGTCGGTTCTATTATTAAAATAAAAAAGAAAGATAGGGACATATTTATAGACGCGTTAGTGGGTGCAATTTCCCCTCTCGAATTTCTTTCATTATCTGTTTCCAGCCAGCAAAAGGGCAAAAGTTACCATTTTTAGACGCGCCAGTTCCTTCCATCTGCTTTCTGCTTCTAAGTGCATGATGATAAATGTTATGTCGGTGGAAAGGCCAACATAATATCCGTAATGCACGTTCATGAATACGACTGATAAGCTCGCGCTCGCGCTAGTGATTAATTCTTGCGGGGAATTGTAAAATTTTAAGCGCCCACGTAAACCCAACTGAATTCCTATCGGTAATTTACATCCGAAATTTTGTTTTGACAAAAATTCATCGATAGCGCTTGTTATGGTATGAAAAAGCATCCGACGTGTGTTACATTTGCGCCATTGTGTAACAACGTAGGTGGCACGTAACGATAACGTAACATTTATGCTTCTACGGGCACCATTCGTATGCTAATATTCATATTCATACGGGACGTGATTCCCTTGCTCGTCGCTCGTCATCGCGGCATATTTTTACACGATGTTACCGCTTGATATTGTTTATCATGGTGATATTTACGCTTGATTAGCGCATACTGCGTGACAAACCAAGGGTTATTACACCCTTAATTTTGGACCTACCAGCATATCTCTCATATCTCTAATGAAATCTACTTGACTATACCAATATTTTTTTGGATTAAAATTTCGGCTGGGTGTTGTTGAACCTAGCGGGTGATAAATTTCATGTCGCGCCAGTAATACCAGCCACCCCCTCGGTTTTCGGGGCAGTGCCCCACGAAGAAGTCATTTTGTTTTGATCAGAATACGATGACCTTGCTTGCGTGCGGAGCCCAACGGTAGATTTCCATCGCGGCCAAAACATTGCATGAGCTTTCGTTGATTTTATTTTTATTCAAGCGCGTGCATGACTTTACCGCACATTGTTGTTGCCGCTCACAACATTGTCCGGTGTGTCTGGACACGCGAAACTGTCCGGATTCGCTTCTAAACTATTCATTCGATTGAACAATACGCTGACGTAATGGAATTTTGAGGTTATTTCAATGAATGAAGATGGTTGCCATTGGAAACAACAAAAAATTACATCTCATGTAAAAAATGTTTCTTTCATTCAGATAACTTTTAATTATTGATCATTTGAGGTCAGCCTTATTAGCTTGTTAGCTCAAGTATCCGAGAACATGCAAAATGCGAATCCAACGCGTCTAGGAAATTTCAAAGGTCGCGTCCGTCAACTCAATCTACATACATACGAGAATAGTAACGACCAGGGCGTTTCAAACGGTCTAAACATAAACATTACTAAGCGCTAGCAATAAAACTCTGTTTTTTTTTCTACAGGTATAACTAGAATTGTAAGTATTGAAATAGATTCGTCATTCATTATGCTGGTTGCAGAGGCGAATATTTTGAAGGTTTTGGACCACTCACCTTCCACTGCTTCCTAATACGTGTCTCGATGGTTAATCCTTTCCATTCTTTCGATTTGCTTTCGACACTTGCTCGACACTATTGTATTCCTCTTCACAATTGCTTTCGTCTGTTCGCGGTGCGAAAGCAGACGAGTTAGAAAAGCGTCGAATTCCACGGAATTCTATTCGAAATGTGGAACGTGCGCGACGCGATTTGCCAAGCACTCTACTCGTGCATCACTTTTTTACTCAGCGTAGCGTTCCGTCCGCGACCACGGCGCACGCGATTTGCAAAGGCGCAAAGATGAAAGTTTGTTGTTACTAGCGCGCTTACTGCTGTGTTGTAGTATTCATTGCTTACTTATGCTTGTTATTCGGTTGCAATGGTTGCAAGCGCGAACGGTGCTCGATTAAGGCGAATGTTATGATGTTTTCTTGGCGATCATACAACAGTGTACACACCAGAGTGATGGTGCGTGAGTCAGCTGGGTCGTTTGGTTGTTGGACTAGCTGTTATTACTGTCGCCAACAATCGCGAATAATCGAAAACCACGGACGTAAATAAACATGTCCGTCCGCGATAAACAAACCAAAATGACTAATATGAATAACTCTGACATTCACTGCCATTGCTGCATGGCGCTGCTAATCGTATAAAAGTCAGATTAAAGCGACATCTAGTAAATTTATTTAAAAACTGCATTGCAAATAAATTTAATATTACTCAAGAATTAAACAAATACAAAGTATTATTACACATAAAAAAATTTAAAAGAAAATATTTTATCTTAAAATGTGTTAAAATGGTTAAAACTTTAATATAAGTATAAATTAATTTTATTGCATATTAAGTTGCCTACGTTTACACGAATGTACATGATCTGCAGAGGAATCAAATAAATCACGAAAACGTCAACAATATCTATCAATATCAACGCAAATAAAGACCTTGTACAAACATAATAATAAATAATTAATTTCGAACGGAACCATTAAACCTTGGATGAATTTTAATATATTCAGTATTCAGTGCGCGTTTCCCCCGGGAACATAAAACATCCAAAGCTCAAGTGACATACAAGTTGACATTGCAGTTATCTCTATATTTTTGGGGTCAAAATTGTTACATTTTAATAACAAAAACAGTGCGTTAGAAACAATTAAGATCATATTTCGTGGTCGGTTGATCATGACAATAATCGACGGCATTGGCGACGAAGTAACATACTTCTTCATTTCTGTCGTCGTTATAATTATCGGTAAGCACATTGCCATTACATTTTCAATAAATTTTAACCAATCAGACAACCAGGCGTAATTTTTTATCTGATTCGCGACCTATTGTCGGTCAACACGTCGCACAATTGTAATGTATTGAATTTGCAGCGACGATTGCATGGATTACCACTGATATCCAACAGAATTTGTATGTTCGAACTGTGTATCTCCTGGAGCATTCAAGGCACCATACTAGAGTAACCACACTAACAAATCATACTGAATCAGCCACCATCTCAGAAGGAGTGGAATTTGATAGTGCTGAGAGTGCAGAGACTGAAGTTGTAGTTGAGGCAGAAGATGAGATGGATGATGAAGATGATCATAGTGAAGATCCAGTGATTGAGGAAATAATTGAAACAATGGATGCAACAGATGAAACTGATGCTAGTGATGCCAACGTTTTAAGGCAGAGGCGCTTACAGAGGTTTCAAAATACAGCAACTGAAACAGATTCACCATCAGAAACAAGCATAACAACAGGTAAAATTATTATAAAAGTATAATTCATTAACTTTTAAAATGTTTAATTTTTAGAAGAAATATTATCTGATAGAATAATACCGGAAGTTACAAACATTGAAGAACCTACAAATGAAACTACTACAAATGGAACAGGAACACCAATAACCATAAAGTTAAAATTCATTGACGACAATATGAGAATTGTCGACGCACGCTTGCATGATTTACTCGGGGACTTCAAAAGACGACATTTTGACGTCGAGCTAGCGTCGAATAAACTCGTTCGATTGATTTTCAACGGCCAAGTGTTAAAGCACGACCAGCAAACGCTGCAGAGCTACGGCATGTTTGATAATTGTGTCGTGCATTGTTTGGTACATCAGCCACGATCGCCTTTGATAGGAGAGAATCCCACCCCATCCGAGACCAATAGTATTTCAATCGGGAATAACAGCACACAGGCTCATCGAGACTGGGATTTGGGTAATTTACTCATCGCCACCTTGAGTTTCACACTTATTTCAGCATGGTACTTCAGGTAAAAAATCAGTATTATTGAACAGTTTATTGTTGTGATTAATTTATTTTTAATTTGCAGGTTTCAATATCCACAGTTATTCACGATCTGGACGACGATTGGTTTAATAGGTTTGACCAGCGGTTTCGGTGTGATAGCATTGGTGAGATACTTTCCGGACGTGTTAACACGTGATCAGGTCATTGTGGTACAGTAGCTCTCACCATGATGTTGTTATTATTTATTTCTCCTTACGTTAATGCTATTGATAATGATTTATGAGTGACAAATACAATTTGATTTTGTTTTTCAAAGAAAATTGTCTTATTTACAGAATTATGATTCCCGCATGTATGTATACAAGCACAAATGACCTTGAATACTGACGGTAGAAAAGTTAAATATGCGCATTTGTAATAGAAAATTTGTTTTTAGTTCTATTAATGGCATTTTCAAGTGAAAAAACTTCAATTATCACCCAAAGATGATAATTGTGTGTACATATTATAAACGTACGTATATTCAACTTTCTTGACAACTTTGTATTGCTTATATCGCCGATGCGAGTGTTTTCACAATCGTTTACTATCAATTCAACGAATGGAAAAAGCATAAATACGCGAGCGTGACGTCAATAAAACGCACGAGCGCACGAGTTTATGCGTAATTATGTCATTTCTTTACGATTTCTATCTGTTTGAGTTGAGTGGCGAGCTGCTATCACGCCCGAAACGACAACAGCGCCACTATTCTAGTACTAACATTAAACCATATCAAACAAATCCAAAAGTGATCCAAACGCTGGTTTACGACTGCCTCTGCTTTGTATTTGTTCGCTTGGTTTGATTTTAGTATGGCTCAACTCATACCTGCGTCTTGGGATACTTGTGTTTGCTGCGTTTAGTGCGTCGGCTGTGTTCGCCTTCGCGCTCCTCCTCTGCCGCCACCAACACCAACGCACATCCGTCTCTCTTGTTGTCGGTACGAGTGGATAGGCACGCACACACGCTCAGCGCGCAACTACCTACTCCGCTCACTCGAGTAGTGTGTCTGTGTCGCTCTGTGTGCTTGCTCTGCCTGCGCAGGTCTCCGCCATCCATTGATAAACAACGACCGCAACGACGTTGCGCCACCATCTCGCTAAAAAACGCGTACTTGCGACCGCTACAATCCGCGCCACCCGCAAAAAATAACTCTTCCTACCGCGATTGATACGAGTTCGTGATTAAACATCTTGCGAGTCCGCATGTAATCCCACAGTGCAGTGCGCGAGTGTGTGCATGTGTGCAAGGTGTCTTGACCTGGGTGAATATTCGCAGCGACGCAATTTGCAAACACACGCGTGAGACTCAACCTTCCTCAACTAACAACTTGAATATTAAGACAATCGCGGCAAGACAGCAAGTGCTAGCAGTCGGAAGACATATTGTAGATTGTTAAGTGTTGGGCAACGACGACAGGAAGACATTTTGCTTTTCCATTTGAGAGCCGCAACTCGATTATGCCATAAATAACACTCGTACAGTTACCAAACCAAGTCACAAGATGAAACCTCGGAGATACTTGGCGCTGAATTTATTCGTGTTGTGCTTTCTAGCCCTAAACGGTAATAAAACAATCATTATAACCACAATAAACAAGATTACAGCATAATATATCAATTGTTTTTAATAAAAAATGTTTAATTACAGAAATCTGTGTTGGTAAAAGCAATGGTATAGCTAGTGAGAGTCATGTATTGCCAAAGGTGTTGTGTGAGTATTACAATTACTCCATGTGCAGTGAATCAAGGAAGAATGGACATGAAGATGGCTGCACTCAACAGGAAGAGTGTTCTGGTGCTGAAGGAAAGCAACAAGGATGTTATGTTTTATGGAATGATGACAATGGAACCATTTCGGTGAAATTAAAAGGATGTTTTCTGCATGATGAATGCAATAACACCAAATGTATTGACACTAACAACAAGAGGAACAATGAGTATTTGTATTGTTGCTGTAAGGGCAACATGTGCAATACCAACTTCAGTTGGGAGCCTAAACCTATACCCACTGAGAAAGAACCACCTGTAGTAAAAGGTATAATTATTTCTATTAAATATCAAGTATATAATAAACAAATATGGTTTATTTTTCAGAACCAGAACCTGTACCAAGTGTCAATTGGCTTGTACCACTTTGTGCAATAGGTATTTTGGGAACTAGTATGACTTTGTTTCTCTGTTGGAGTTATAGAAAGAAGAAGTATATGTTCAATGAGGTAAGTTTACTATTATAATAAAAAAACATAATTTAAACATAAATATCTTGATTATTTTCATGTCTGAAAAGTGGGGGGTAGGTTGTCTTATAATTATTATCATATATTTCCTATGAACTTTCAAATTCAAATGTTTTTTAAATGTTATAGATCCCAACATCAGAACCACACTCACAACCGTTGACAATGCCCACAATGGGACTGCTCCCAATCCAATTGATCGAAATAAAAGCGCGTGGGCGTTTTGGTCTCGTCTGGAAGGCGCATCTAAAAGGCGAGGAGATCGCCGTGAAGGTATTCCCTATGCAGGATAAACAATCCTGGACCCAGGAGCAAGAAATTTACAAAATTCCACTGATGAGCCACGCAAACATTCTTCACTTTATTGGAGTAGAGATACGCAAAGCCGAACATCCAACGCAGTTCTGGTTGATTACCGCTTACCACGAATTGGGGTCTTTGTGTGATTATTTAAAAGCACATACACTCACCTGGCCAGAGCTGTGTAAGATTGTCGAGACGATGGCGCGTGGCCTCATGCATTTGCACGAGGAAATGACGGGCAAACTAGGTGAACCTTTAAAACCTGCGATTGCGCATCGCGATTTCAAGAGTAAGAATGTTTTATTGAAGAATGACATGACTGCGTGTATTGCTGACTTTGGTCTGGCGCTTATGTTTGAACCGGGGAAATCCTGCGGTGATACTCATGGACAAGTTGGTACACGGAGGTACATGGCACCGGAAGTTCTTGAAGGTGCGATTAATTTCACACCCGATGCATTCTTACGCATTGATATGTACGCGTGTGGGTTGGTTATTTGGGAATTGGTGTCGCGGTGTACCGCGCAGGACGGGGTGGTTCCTGAGTATAGATTACCGTTTGAGGAAGAAGTGGGTGCACATCCGAACTTGGAAGATATGCAGGAGAGTGTTGTACAACGAAAAGTGCGGCCGACCATATTAGAATCATGGAGAAATCATCCAGTAAGTTAATAAATAAAAATAAATAAAATTGTGTTTGCTTACTATGTTTTCGTTTAAATAGGGATTGGCAGCACTCTGCGAGACTATGGAGGAGTGCTGGGATCACGACGCTGAAGCGCGCCTCTCCGCCTCATGCGTAATGGAGCGCGTTCTCAATCAAAGCAAGTACCCCATCATTCGTCCCTTAGCATGCGTATCGAAAACGAGGCGCTGCGGAATACGATCAAGGAAAACAGCATGTAGATCAACCACACAGTCACATATTTTATGTTTCATTCACAGGTATTTTTTGTTTATATTTTTGTTTGTTTATTGTCTTAATTTTTTATGCATGACTCTCAAATGACTCAGCAAATAGCAGGTAATTTAATCACGCCTGATTGTGTGCTGTTGCAGTAAACGAAGATTTGAAATTTTTCAACACTGGACATCTGATCCCGACCAGTTAGCAACACGTTGACTTAATGTAAGCAAAAGGGACGCTCGTTCGAAGTGCTTGGGAGTGTGTTGAGTGTGCAAGTGCAGTGTGGGAACACTTATTAATGACATGTGCCATAATGAAAATAGTGCAACTCAGTGTAACATGAATTCCTATATAGAGTATAGACCTCTAGTGTAGTGTTTAAAGCTAGATATCTATCACAAAATGAAGCGATCGAACAACACTGCTGTAAATTAATTAATGATGATTTCGAACACAAAACGAGAGGAAAGAAAACGAAAGTGCAATTTTATATTATACATATTTTCACAAAGCGATTTCAAATGATGACAAGTTGTTGACACGAAAACAAAGTTTATAATTGACGTTGAAATTAAGAAGTATATGAGTTTTTTGTTTCATGCAACGGCAAGTAATATGAATGTACCTTATATTTAAAATGCCTAAAATTGATTGCGAAGCACTTGTGTGCGTGGATTTCAATGAGTTTTCAATGCACATTACGGATTTAATCGAGGAGTTTCAGTATGTAACAAACTTGTAACATGGTTGGGCGACGATCCCCCACCCGCCACACTTTTTACTTTAACCTAGAAATTCGCAAACAGGAAGTATTTCCATCTTGTTCGGTTTTTATGCTATTGTTCGCTCGTAAATAAGGATAAAAATAAATTGCGATTGTATTTTGTTTCGAATATGCTTGCTAAGGTTGAAAGTGCGGTAGATAGCCGATAGTCGTCCATCTTGTTGCCATGCGGAACTACGCCATTGACAAACATCACAATAAAATCACCCAGTTTTGTACCTTGTATTAACAGTGCTGAAAACCACATATTCCTATCGATATCTAAGCGGTTAGTTTGCAAGAAAGAGATTTATAACGAAACGAGATATATAATTATAGCGTTACTATATATATATTTAAAAGAAAAACAAGAGAAGGTTATAAGTAGAACTGTTGTATTGCCGAAGGCGCGTAGCAAACATTTGTACATAATTTACTTTGTTGCTCTTCAATTTCGATACTGTTAACGTAGAATATGTTTTGAGCTGGATCAAGATCATGTACATACATATAAAAAATATGAGGATCGGATTGTTCTGTGGATCTGATTGTTAGAATCTTTGTGTATTCATAATTAAGACTGAACGAAGCGAGCAAGTGACTGGCTGGGCGCTGGTACATTGTTTTCTTTAAATTTAATTTTTATTACTAGCGTTACTCAGAAAGACAAGTTATCGAAGCATGGAAGACGAATAAAGCTTGCCAATAATTATTTGTTACACAATATCCACGCGCACCCATGAATTAATAATGGTTAATTTAGTTCTGCTAGTTACTTCCTGTGAAAGAGAACATACGAGATGCCAATTTACCTACCTACCTCCAGCATACTTTATGTTGATTAGTGTAATGAGAACTTTTGAATACGATTATATATTTATGATAAATATTAGTTGATTTTTAGTTTGGTGTGAAGGGCATAGTAAGTTGGGCGATATTAATGCGGCGGAATGGAACGTTTTTGTAAATGCGTTGTTTGTTTTGGGTGAGTTTTACGTATGTACCTTTACATATCAGATTGCGGATGCGAGGCGACTTCAGATGACTCCGGAGATGTAACCGTGAAAACGTGGAGGCAATTCGCATGGATTTATTAAGCTTTGAAACGCTCTAAATATAACACAAGGTTTTGTACAAACAGAAAACGTAAATCAAATGCATGTGAAATAATGTAAACATGTTGGAATAAAACTACAAGTAACACATATTCGCAATTATTTTCATTTTCGGCACTGTTTCCAGTGCGAAATATTTATTTTTACGAAACAAATAGAAAACGAAACCGTTTACATGTTATGTTTATAGTTTATACTTGTTAATATACCCTCATAAATAAACGCTAACAACAATTGGTTATTTGAAACTAAATTAGGTACGTAATACGACTAGAGTACGTTTGACGTTTTGTAAAAACGAATAAATACACGTTGCATTGCAATCTAATGGTATACAACAATGAGGAAGAAATAATGTGAGTGTATTATTGAATATGTATATGAATCGTGAAGCTTAATCTACCAATCCACATCGAAATATAACACCGGTAAAACAGCCAGATTGAATATTCATTTGAAAAATTGCTTCCTGTTTAAATACCATACTTGGGCAGAGTCATAGTGTCGCCATTGCGATAGCCCAATGTACCGTTCGATTGCTTCTTGCTGAGCGTATTATGTGGGTAAAGATTGAGCGGTGGTAGATTGGGATGCTCAATTCGTGTTGGTGAAGATACCTGCGGTCTGTAATGCTGTGCCGCCATTCGTCGCATACTAGCACAACGCATATCCGTGTTACCTCCAAGCGTGGCGTATTGATGCTCGCTGTGGATCAAATGCTGTTGATGCTGTGGGTGGAAACGCTGATGCTCAATGTCGTTCAGTTGATACGCTTCAATCAACGGCGTGGGATCCTCGTACTCGTAATCTACGAAGCCAGAATTGTCAAAGCTATGCGCGAGGACGCGGGGCACGGTACCTTTACGCTGATAGTAGGGTGAATAATGGCCGGCCGCGATCGGAGGCGGTTGCGTATTCAACTGGTCGATGGTCTCGTAGTGGTCATCCGCCTCGATGTAGTCGACAAGGTCATTCGGATAACTCTCCGAGATGAAGTGTTGGGTGCCTCGAGGCGTCAACGCCGCCCATACCATGCGATTGTCAGCGTGAATACCATTACCATGGTACAACACAGTTTCCGAAGGGTGTACCAGTTTATTTGAGTTAATATTTGTGACCATATTGGTACAGTCACGCGGCTCTACATTTTTCACTGGTCTGTTGTGCATGGAGCAATCGTTGTTGCCGAACATGTTCATTCTAAAAACAAAACTTCGTACATGATAATGTAAATGAAAATTGAGACAAAAGGCTCACTCTCGACATTTCAGGAGGAACATGGCTAACAACGCTCCTAGTAATAGGACACCAATGGCGGACGCTACTAAAACGAGCAACCAAGTGTCACCGATTGTAGGACTCCATGGATCAACATCCTTCCTGGGTAGTTCAACGAATTCACCACCGACTCCATCGCCAAGGACGCGATTTCCATGATGCGGTGGATAAGCTTCACACAACTGAGGTGATACACACGATGTGTTGTTTATCAATAATTCTGGAAGACCACCTTGCAGGAATGACGGAATTGGTGGTGGTGGCATAAACAGAATGGTATCCGGTGGAGGACCAATGTCCCAACAATCACCCAAGCAACTCATGATTTACTAAAAGGGCAAATGTGTAAAGATACACATAATAAACAAAGTAATGAACAAAACAACTAAGGGATAATTAAACATACCTTGATAAACTATAAGAACAGTAAACTGAGCTAATTTTCACTTGTTTTACGGTGTTCAGGTTGCACTTTGCACTTGCATGCGACGCGACTATTGTTTGCGCCCCTGCAACACCGAGATGTGCGATGCACCCTCTTTCATATCGATCGCGGCGTTTAGCGCTCTGCACGCGTGCGTCGCGACGACCGCACATCGATTTGCTCCGCTTATTCCTACCCTCTCTTTCAACCCCAGTGTATGTGGTTGTTGTCTTTGTTTTGGAAATGTTTTTAATAAAAGCGCACGCAGACCAACCGATAGCAATCAAATATAATGAAATGTAATTTTTTATATACAATCGTGACACGTCGCTTTGCTTACATTGTTCGGTATGGTTTAAATTTTCACTGGTAAATACAGTAAAGCAAATGCATAAACATTTGTGAAATAATATTCATTTCCCACGAGGATTCAAAGTCGAGGCATGCGCTGTATGCGCTTTGATAATTCACGGCGCGCTCTTGGTTTTGAATTTTCCACTTCTATCACGGGTCAGTTTTCCTCGGCGGTGCTTGGATGCCGGTTGGAAGAGGCGCGGACAGCGTCGCGACGCTACAGGTAACGATGTAATAAACTGCGCTGCGTTTATGACACTTTTATCCAACCATAAATAGTGCTATATTGCATTCCGGTAAGTAATATTAAATTTATCAAATAAAATACAACTAATTTATTTAAAATTAAATTATAAGTTGTTAGAAGTATTAATTTATGCAATGCATACAGTTATTCCGCGAATTAATTTGGAAACTTGTTTGCATAATGCTGTATGTTTAAATTAATTAATTTTCGCTCCGTTCAAATGAATGCGACAAAATACCAAAAACGATTGATTGAATTCCACGAATAAATCAACCAGAAAATCCGTTTCAGTGAATCCCGATATCACGGGAAACTGTCAAACCTTACCGGCAAACGCGCGGAGATCCAATTAAAGTTCATTAAAACTTGCTGAACAAAGTTGCTCTTTTCACACCGCTTCAATCATTCGTTACTCCAATATTTCTTTTTTGTTAAACGTGCAAAGATTACAAACTCAACAAAAGATATAATGTAGGCAACCAATTAATATGTGTTTAGTAATTTTTATTGTGAGGTTAAACAATATCACTTAAAAAAAGATAAATTATGAAAAGTTTAGACAATACAATTTAATCATATTCATTGTCAGTATCAGAAATAATCAATTTTATATTATCGACATATTTTTCGCTTAATGTACAAGTTGACAATATCGGAAAAAGTTGTCATGTCAACGTCACAAAAATGTATTAAATTATTAAATATCACATATTTGTGATTATTATTTCCAGAACGTACACACAAAGCAACAGAACATGGCGCTCGCCCGAAGTATTCGTTTGCTTATTGCTCTAATAGTTTACATTGGATATCTATGCCTTGGCGCCGTCATTTTTCGCACAATTGAAATCCCGCACGGCAAGGAGATCGCCAGAAAGTTCGAGCATATCAAGTCGGAGTTCCTCCTCGCCAACGCTGGCGTGTCGGGTGAGTTTTGAGTAGCTCTGAAAGTCTAAACCCTCTACGCACAAAGTTGACATTCGCAATGTGACATAATACCGCAACCCAATGTACATACCAACATACCAACGTCACCCTCGCGTATTGCCTATGTTAAGTTAAGAGTAATATTTATCTTATCCTGGATCTACGCCTCAACTGTGTTATTTCAACGTTTTAGCAGATTAAACTGCGCGAATCTCTCGTTTATAAGCATCATAAACACGCTAAGCAGACAATCGCAATAATATAACATGGAAAGTAATAAAATACGCCACATTAAGATTATGACGACGTGGGAGCGAATTAAATTAAAGCATTACTTGTATTCCAGTGAATTATTTACTGCGCGTTGAATTGATGGATTACCACTTCGATTTTTTCATTTTACATACATGTTTGTATGTTGGTACTTGTTGAGAGTATGGCAACAATATGCGCTAGTAATTTATTTGATTATCGGCGTGAAGTACGCTCGTCCGGATGAATTTATTCGAAAACCTATCGTAAATCTGTTATCCTAGGGCACTACGGCACTGGGCTTATCCATCATCTGCCCCCGCGTTCATTCCTTCTTTCTCTTTTGCGCTCTGCTTTATTTCATAGTAACGATAAAGCATCAGGGGTGCAAAACAAACACCTGATACAAAATTTCAGCCTCTGTTTCATCAAACATTATGCTCGGCAAAAACCTGGCATCGCCTGGAGAAATGTTATTTTCAGGCATATATGTTTGAAGGTTATAATGACCTTGATGAGGGTGAAATTTAATATTTAATTAATGAGCGTAGGACAATTCCGTACCGTAATTAGTCCATTTGGACGATTAGATTAACCCACTTTCGCGTACGCTACTATAACGAGTTATTCCTCTCGAGTTATCTCTCTTGCTTCTTGTGTATAATCTAGTTTAGTAGATTGAAACGATGGTAGAATAGTGTTCTAAAACGTGGCTTTATTACAAAATAATTTTTCATGGATTACAAATCAAGACGCGCCTATTTTTTCTTATCACTATTCATATTGGGCACAGCAGCTTCAGTTTGTTCAGATATGTCGGTGTTTTTAGTTTGCTCCGCCGCCATTTTGGATAGTTCAATGTTAATCCGCTCTTTTGCGCGCACAATTTTCGATTGCAAATAAAGTGTTCCGCCTTTTGTACGATCGTTTGCTTCGAAAAGCTTATCATAGCGCTGTTGAATGCGCTTTTCGTCTTTAATATCTTCAACGTCGAGAATCTGTAATGATTCCGCAAGCGACGGAACTGTGCTATATTTTTCGCGCGCTGTTAGGTTACCGTTCTGCATATCGTACCGCGCCTGCGCGCGTGTCTTAGATAACTCCACTTCTTGGGCGAGAGTCACGCGAATCGTGCGCAGTAGGATTCGTGAACTATGGTACATCGCCGTGATAAAAGATTTTGTTAACTTGAACATGATTGGGAGTTTGAATGGGAATTATTGCATCATGTTCTTGAATTTTTTTTGTCACAAAATGATTACTTGAACTTAGATTTGATTTTTGGGCACTGATAACATTTTTGATAAGATGAACGTTGACAGTAGAAACTAATATAAACGTCAAAAATTAAATGCTTTGTTGCAATATGAATTGTCAGTGCCACAATCAATTAGCTTCTATTGTCCATTTTTGCGGTCCGCTTTGTTTTACTATTCTGAATTTAACAATAGCTGTCTGTTTCGGTCAACAACGGAATTGCACATAAAGTAATGATTGGCAACAGTTATTTTTTTTGTGTAAGCCACCGTTTGTAAACTGGAGAGGATTGGAATAGTATCAAATAAAATTGTTCAAGCTGGGCCAATTTAATCAGATGTTTCATTATTTGATTGACTGAAAAAAGTATGAAAAAAGTAGTACAAGGAAGAAATGTACAACATCAGACGTGGACATCCACAATGCGCACACAATTCGACTAAGAAATCAAAAAGTGAAGAGGGAGAAATGTTGGAGCCTGGGACTAGACTGCAGGAAGACTCAGACACGACCTGTGGACTACCCGTAAAAAGTGGTGGGGGAAGTGGCGCCGACGGGTACCTGGGAATTCTCATACGAGGAAAGGATAACTTTAGGTCACCAGGTGTATCACTCTAATGGACCACATTGCTAGAGATCAGCCGTTCTATTCGGATGTGCCCCATTGCCATCTCAGCATTGCGGATAAAGTCACAAGGGGGTCACTAGTGAGAATATAAATGCGGTCACATACGTCTACTCAATCTGACATTGCTTCACTTCACTCCGAAGTTAAAATAGCATTTACAACTTTATCCCATTACTATAAAACTAGTTTTTCTTTGATTTTCCACCTTATTAACAGTAACAAAATTTTATTACTACCATTTAAATACTGTTACGTCCTAGTTGAGAAGACCATACATATTTTTTCGTACATTGTTAATATATGAACGTACTTTGCTTTCGAATAAGAAAAAGATGCATTTTTTAATCAGTAATAAATTAATAATCTATCAGTTGAAGTGAGTTGAAGCATAAGTCACACAATAAATCAACATCACCATCGTCAATTATTGCCTATTGACATAAAATATCAATAACCTATGACACTAAACAATATAGAAACGAACAATGAGATGCACCACGAAAATAATAGCCGCTCAAAAACTAGTTTGCCACAAAGAGCACATCATTTGGCATTTCGATGAATATCATTGTTTTCGCCATTACAACGTTGACGATCGCCAAGTCAATAAACATCGATATCGCCCGCCTCGAGCAAGATAAATAATCCGATTATCGCATCACATGCGCACTCAGTGTATAGCCATTATAGGTAAGCATATAAGCGCGCTTATTGCGAGACATGCGTTAAGTCAACAACGCCGACGCAACACATGCACACTCGCAAAGCTAATATTTTTCGGGCGTACATCATTGTACTTCTGCACTGAGGGCCACGCGCTTGGGGGCTGCTCATCAACCTCATCATCAACAGTGTCATTAGGCTACCAGCGGGCGCGCGAGAGAGGGGCAGGCTCCCTATATTTAACGCGCCGATGATACCAACTTAAGTCAGTTCGTCCGCATTAGCCACGACAACGAAATATTCAGCATGACTTTCAACCCGGTGAATTCGCTTCCAGTCACTATGAAAGCAATGATTTTCGTTATTTTATAACACAGGCTTTCGTACAGCATAGTGTTAAATTAATATTTAAAAGAATTAAATTAAATATTACGAGTTTTATCGTGATTTAAACTTTAATTAAATAAAAACAAGTGTATTATACTATCGATAAACATGGAGACAAAGTTGGTTATGAGTCCTAAATACGGTTCGACTTATCACACGTGGGTAGACTACGGCTACATGTATTCAAGTGATCAACTCCTGCCGATTTTGGAAAAGAGACGCAATATGAAAGAAGATGGCGTTTTCTTTTGTGGTCTACTAAAAACCGATCTGCTCTTCGTTGTTTATTTGATGTTCTACGTGATGTATCTTTGTTTCGGTGCGGCCATGTTCAGCATAATGGAAACCCCCGGTGAAATGGCGGTTGCCTACCGTCTGCAGGCCAGTCGCCAACAGTTTCTGCTCAAGTATCCGAATGTACAAGGTTTGTTTCAACTTAAACTTTAAATTTAGCGCCGTTTTGATTAGAAGACTTTGTCCGTAGTAAGCTGATAGCGATTAGTAGTGTTGCTATGAGTAAATAAAGGAGTTACCACTCTTTCTACTGGAATGTGACATGTGATTCATTCATAAATGTTTAGATATCTACTACCGTTGACCCGAAACAATTTTTTTGATCGCGCGCGCGCGGCAACAGTCGTCTTTCAGTTATTTATTTATGTTATGAAGTATTAATCGTAATTAAATATTAATTGCATAGAAACAGGCGGGTTGTGTGGTAATCAATACTGAATGTTACAGAGGAATGTTTTGTGGGCGTTTGGGCTGATTTGATTTGACCCTTTTTAGCATAACTTTTAACACAGAGCAAGAATTTACAAAAGTTGGTTTCTATTAATTTAATGTGGTTTTCTGGTGAGAAAAAAAGCACCTCATTGTTTGTAGAAATTTATTTCCATTTGCGTTGTGTGCCAGTGGTTGAACTTGAGGATAAAAAGAAATAGAAGCAACAGCCAACATCAACAAGATAAGAAAAGCAAAAAAGACGTACACGAGCGAAATGTGAAGGGGACGTGGGAAATTTCCCGGCGCTTACAAAAGACCACCGAATGTAATCGAATTTTCGTTCGACGTGCACCTCACTGTATATATATGTGTTTCTACTTTCAACCCCGAATTTCCACCCACGGGTTGGTTACACTTTCAACTTTTGTTCCGTACTTTTCCACCTGCGAAATAATGCAAGCGCAAGAGTCAAAGTTACAAAAATAAAATTTCGTGACGCATTTGCGATTATGGAAAAGAAAAAAAAAATTATTCTGAAAAATGTGTAGGCGTAGGTAATGTCATGAACAGGAATGTCAGTCAATTTCCTTTTACTTTCTGGATAATGATTTCGCATTTCCGCGACTTTCGTCGTCAAATAAAACGTGTGGTATAACACATATTGATAAAGCGCATGTGAAATGATTACTTGAGTTATCATCGTTTTTATGGGGCATTGGAACACACTCCGAATGGGAATGAGATGAGGAGAAGCCATGGTCATCCGGTGACTTTTGCCCTGCGTACTATATACTACAAACTACAAACTCCCAGCGTGTTTTGTCTTCGATTTTAGTCTAATAGGTGACTGAACTTTGCATAAAGTGAAACTAAATGCAAACAAAACAATGAATTGCAATTAAATTGCGATTTAATTAACGAAGAGGTAGAGAAAGTCAAAATAATGATCAATTATTGACATGGTAACGTGTTATATCAGCAATGTGATTGACAAAGGTTTATCTTTTGCGCTCTGCTATATATTTTATTCGCGCGTTCGCTTTGATTCTGGCTTTTCCTGACCCTCGTCACAGTATTCCCGGATCAACCCCCGCAATCTGATTTTTTAATGAAAATACTCACTCAATCCATCTACATATCATTGAAAATTTAAAAATAGAACTTTATTATTTTTTTTATTCCAGATGAGGACTTGGAAAGATTTATCGCTGAAGTAGTGGCTGCATCAAATCGAGGCATTTCTGCTCTGCATAATGTCACAGATGAACCGAACTGGAGTTTTGGGCAAAGTTTGTTTTTCAGTGGGACTGTAGTTACCACAATAGGTAAATTTATTTTCCTTTGGAGTTGATAGTTTGTATTGATTATTATTTTTTGTAATTTCCTGCTATAATTGCGTTTACTCCGCCATTCTTCGTCATCGCGGTGACGCTCATTACGAATTCAAATCGAAATTGATTTGTTTGCTCTAGGTTATGGGCACGTGACGCCGCTGAGCCGCGCTGGGAAGGCTTTCTGCATAATTTACGCGATATTCGGCATTCCATTCACGCTGGTCCTTCTCTCAGCGCTCGTGGAGCGCCTACTGGTACCTGTCGTGTGGTTCTTGGAATTTCTCAACACCAAGTTGGGTCATCTCTATCAACCATTCAAGATTCGTATCTTGCATCTGCTCATTGTCGGTGAGTGCTATAATTAAACATAATCAAATAATTTCAAGTAAAAACAATTGAAATTACGCATAATTCAAGTGTTTTCCGCTGATTTATTATTTTTTTGACAATACGCCACTCACCTGTACACTCGAAATGCTCCATTGACGTCAGTCATTTGTTTATTTTTGTTTTGAAGACAATTTAAATTACTGATTGACGTCAAAGCGGATATCTCGTCACGTAGAGGGAATGATGAATTAATCGGTTCATTGATTTAATTTCAATCGCTAAAAATAGGCATGTATGAATTATTGATGTATTGAATTTTAAAATGTTCTAGTCGTGGTGGTGATCATCGCATTCATGCTGATACCTGCTGGAATATTCGCTGCGCTGGAACCCGAATGGGATTATCTGGATTCGTTGTATTATTGCTTTATTTCCCTGACAACCATCGGCCTTGGGGATTACATCCCGGGTGATGCGCCAATGCAACCAATGCGAACGCTCTACAAAATTCTAACCACCGGTAAAAATTTCCGCTGTCACCAACAATTTCAACCAAAGCAAACTAAATCTTTGCATCTACTTACAGCTTATCTTATTATCGGTATTACATTTATCATGACCACGCTGGCGGTGTTCTACGACATCCCTCAACTTAACCTTGGTTTACTCTTTTCCGGCGGAGAGGAGGATTTTGAACGTTTGCGTCTCATCAGCAATGCCAGCAAGAGTTACATGAACGATGCCGATCCGAAACTGGTAGAGAGCAGGAATGTCGTTAAGGTGAAGAGTCGCATCAGCGACAACAGTTTAAGTCCGCCTCAGAATTATTGAATCGAAGATTGACGATCAGTGCGATGATACGGTGACAAGATTACAACGAAGCAGAGTAAACAAAAAAAAAATGCCGGCATACGCGATGCGTCAAATTATCTATCTTCATGTAAACAGTTGTTGTTGTCTTTCCTATCGTAATGCACACCCAATATCTGTGTTAGTTGAATGTTCGAAGGCGCAAACACATTGCACTGAATGAAAGACTTGAAAGGACTTGGACGTACGTGTTTAATGTTTATGTTTGCTAAGTTGTTGAAGCAAAGCTCTCATACGAGGGATGCGGCTGAATGAAAGTCGCAATCAAACGATTGCAACGCTCGGACCTGAATGCGAATATCGAAAAATATTTTCTAATTGTAAATTAATGTAGTCATGAGTATGTAATTCACTGACTATGTGAGCAAAGTACTTATTTATGGATAAATATTGCAATAAATGACTATACACAAAGGAATAAACTTGTTTTAAACTTATTCAGCTATAGAAACCAATTTAATGTTCAAGTTTAACTGTGTGCGCCATCTGGTGTTGTTCAAATAAACTGCAATTAGTTATTAAACTTTTGAATATACACTAAGGTTGAATCCTAACTTCAATCACGTAAATAAATAAATGATTGCTACAACAACGCATCTACATCTAATCATTATTTTCGAAAATATATAACCAAATGATTATTGATTTTATATTTCATTCAAATTCCGAGAAGATCAGCGATTTCTGTATTATTTCTGTCTTTCAACAATGTCATTCAACCGGCCCGACCGCTTCCATTGCTTTGCTTTCTTTACACCCCTTACACCCCTGTGTTGTATTAAAATGTATTCTATCCGCTACCGATTACGTACGCAATTCAATTAATACCACCGTACTTTTAGTGTATATTTAACGAATTAAAATGACGTGGACATGCAGATAATCGGCAGCAATCTCCTCGAATCGATGAAGGTAACCTAAAATGGCTCGCCCACGCAGAACGGTGCAGATAATCAGTAACAAGGGTGACAAAGGCAATAGCAGCAGCAGTAATGGAAGTGCGACTTCATCGCCGGCGAAGAACAAGGCCGTGATCTTCACCTACTGGAAGGAGGCTGTTGGTTTCATATGTTTAGTTATTGCAGCAACAGTTGGCTACCAGGGCTACTTAGAGACCCGTGTAAATACACCTTATGATGATAAAAAAGTAAGAAGTTTATTTCTAATTGTAAGCACAATTGACTACAATTGTTTGGTGTTATTTACAGGTTGTTATACATAGTGGACTAGATGTACCTGAAACATTTTGGGGTTCTTATAGACCCGGAACTTATTTTGGTCTCAAAACAAGAGACCCTCACTCATTAGTTACTGGTTTGATGTGGTATTCACCTAAGAAATTAACTAGAGGTGGTGATGGCATTAAGTAAGCTTCTTTAAATAAATATTAGTTTCTGTTTGAAAATATTACTTCTTTTAAGACATTGGTGTGAGCAGGGTGACAATCTTGACCAGTATGGGTGGATAGCTCATGATGGTGCAAACTTTGGTGTTCAAGAAATTTATGATGGCAATTTTATCCTTACCACCAGTTTTGTCAAGAGACTGGGTGGAAATAATGGGGGTGATTGGACAGCAAGAATATCAGTTGATATCAAAGTAAGTGTTTTGTTACTTTTACTGACATAAATTATAAATTGACAATGTCAATCATAAATTTTTTGTTCACAATCTAATTTATCACCAAGCAAGCAATACTATAGTATAAGATCATAATATTATATTTCAAAATGGCACAAAATACAAGCTTTGAGAAATTCATGAAAAATGAAGAAGACGACAAGTTTGTGACCGTTAAATTCGAGCGCAATTTAAGCGTAGCAGCCGTTGTTTGCATGAGTGTTGCGACTACATTACTAGTAGTCTTCTGCTGCTGTTGATTATCTTTATAATCTTTTATTCACTTTATGAATAAACAATCTTCTACTCCGTAAATTAAAGCTGTTAAAATTAAATTGTTTTACTATTTATAGCCTGGTGTTGAGAAAAAAATCAAAGACGAGATTTCATTGATCTGGTATACGGCTCTCGATGATCCACCAAGCACGCAAAACTTTATCACAACGAGTGATGACAGTACTCCACTTACGGGAGTGAAGGGTCACACACCCGGTTTGGGCGACTTTAGTATCAAATTGTTTAATCATTCCGGTGCTATTCAACATGAGTCGTTTGTAAGCACTGTTGCGCCAGGCTTGCACTTGTTGAAAGAAACGGTGTTATCATCGCTTCGATTGCTGGAAGATAGTCCGAATGGACCCAAGAAGATTGTCCTTGGAGGCGAATTGTTACCAATCACTGGCCAAGTCACTGGTGATCGTCCTCAGCCGAATTTTATCGCAACGCAAGTAACTGCACAAGCACCGTTCACATTGGACGTAGTGTTCGAATCAGCTAGTAATACGAGGGAAGCGCCTCTTCTAGGCGACGTTTACGACACTGCGTTAGCATGGCACCAGAGTCGATTCGAGCAGAGATTCGAGAATACATTTGGGCTAAAAGAAAAAGGGTAAAATGGTCGGTGCGTATTTTAAAAAGCGAAATAATTTATTTAGCTTTTTATTTGTTAGTTATGGACCTAAAGAAATTCGTTTTGCGCAAGCCGCCTTGAGCAACATGATCGGTGGAATTGGATATTTCTACGGCTCGTCGCGTGTTCAAAGTGCTTATACAAAAGAACCAGTGCCATCGTGGAAAGCGCCCCTGTACACAGCTGTGCCATCGCGGAGTTTCTTCCCACGCGGTTTCCTCTGGGACGAAGGCTTTCACGGTTTTCTTGTCGCCAGCTGGGACATCGATGTCGAGCTAGATATCATCAGTCACTGGTTCGATCTGATGAACGTCGAGGGTTGGATCCCACGCGAACAGATCCTTGGCGTCGAGGCGCTTGCTAAAGTCCCCGAAGAGTTTGTCACGCAACGTAATAACAACGCCAACCCACCCACATTCTTCCTCACGCTGCAATACATCCTACGCAATTTCGACAATCAAATCACCGCCAAGCGATTAGAGGTTTTTGAAAAGTTATATCCACGATTGCAAGCATGGTTCAACTATTTCAATACAACGCAGAGAGGTGAAAGTATGGGGACTTATCGATGGCACGGACGTGATACAACCACCGTGCACGAGTTAAATCCAAAAACTTTAGCGTCAGGTTTAGATGATTTTCCTCGCGCATCGCATCCCACTGACGAAGAGCGCCATATTGACATGCGTTGCTGGATCGCCATCGCAGCCGATACCCTGGCGAAAATCTCGTCCATTCTAGGCCGCGATGGTTACAAATACGATCAGACGGCGCTTTACTTAACTGACAACGAATTAATGGACAAGTTACACTGGTCCGATTACGCTCAGATGTACGCCGATTATGGTTTACACACTGATTCTGTAGTTCTTAAGCGCCCAAAGCCAAATCCACGAAGTCAGACGCAAAGCTCCGAAATGATTCGCGTCACACTGAAAAACCCAGAATACCGATTGGTGGACAGCTCATTTGGTTATATAAGTCTTTTCCCATTCTTGCTGCAGATCGTAGATGAAACATCGCCTAAATTAGGTAAAATTTTATCGGATTTAGAGAATCCAAACTTGTTGTGGACCGAGTTTGGTTTGCGGTCAATTGCGAAAAACTCTCCCATGTACATGAAGAAAAACACAGAACATGATCCACCGTATTGGCGCGGGCCGATTTGGATCAACATCAACTTCCTAGCTATTCGCGCATTGGACTTCTACGCCAAGAAAGAAGGCCCCTATCAGGAGCAAGCGCAAAGGATCTACACGCGACTGCGGAAGAACGTTATAGACAATGTTATCAAGCAGTACTATAAATCGGGGTACATCTGGGAGCAGTACAACGACACAACTGGGCAAGGTAGTGGTTGTCGGCCTTTCACGGGCTGGTCGGCGCTAGTAGTCCTTCTCATGGGCGAAAAGTTCTAAGCAAGTCAATTAGATTACGTAAGCTAAAATTAGTTTCGTTTTAATTTGTAAAGTAAACGAATCAACAATTATTTAAATTTATTATTCTAACTGATATCAACATTGAAATCAAAAGTTTCGTTTAAGAGGGTGCTCAGGAAAGTACCCACCAACTTGCTGCACTTTCTCAGCAAGTTTTCCGTACGCTACGTCGTGGTTAACGTACGGCCCTTCTTGGATTAACATCACGTTCTCCTTCACGCGCCGCATCGCCTTCTGACAGAATGCGTTCGCAAGAAGCACTTCGTAGTCGGAATGGCTAAGTCCAATACAATATGAACGAGAGGCACGTCCTAACGACGCAACCATTGCGTAAATATCAATCACGCAATCAGCTAAGCGAATTACATCCGTGTGTTTGTTTACGATTTCCATACCATATTGAGCTAGTATTAATTCGGTGATATATTGCATTCGCAACACCGAATACTCCAAACAATCCGCGCCGGGTTGCGCCGTCGGGTGTAAGAATTGGTGCAACTGCAGAGTCAAACGTGGATTGTCTCGATTATGGCGACGCTGTGTCCACATACGTGAGAATGCTTCTTTAGTGTGAAAAAGGGGATTTCGTATGCGTTTAATTAAATCTTGCAATTGCATTCCAGCGAATTGTAGACCTTGCAGGGCGATTATTATCTTTGTACTGTCGGGGGTGCCATTGAAAAGAAGGTAGTGCAATGCGTTGCGGTGATTGGAGTTCGACCAGTGCTGAGTTTGATATGCATCTGGGCCAATTAAGTGCATTATATGGGATGTTATGATCGATGAATGTTCAGCACTGAAGATTTTCGTGATGGAAGCTTCCATTTGGCAGTCCTGGTCCTGATAAATATCGAGTAGTCCAGCAGTAAGATAAATCATGCTTTCCATGGCATAAATTTTTGCAGCAAACTGAAAATATTTAAAAGTAAGTGATTTACAAGTTGATGTTAGCATTATATACATACATTTGCAAGTTTTTCAGCAACCAACTCAGTATCTAGTAAATTATTTTTATCAGTTGAGGTATCTCGGCAGTACTCAAAGTATTTGTTGTATGAATTTTTGGCTATTGTGCATGATGCAATTGAAGTAACAAGATTAATTTCTGGTACAATTTTGGAGTACACATAGAGACCTTGGTTCTCTTTTCCAAGCATGTTTTCTGTAAAAGAAAAGCACATAATATGATTTGTTGAAAGTTGCTTTTGTCTGGTTGTCACCTGCAGGCACATGAGTATTATCAAATGTAACTTCAGCAATATCAGTTTTATCAAGTCCCACAGTTTGACATGGTTTAGAAGAAACTCCTCCAAAGGTTCTTTCCACTAACAGGGCTGAAACATTGACTTTATTTAAACCAGTAGCCAATAATGTCGTTTTTGCCAAAACTACAAACAAATCAGCAGATTCCCCATTAACAACATTTAACTTCCTTCCATTCAGAACCTTGATACAAAAAATGCTGTTATTTAATTATTACATAATTATCATATTATAATACCCATTGTTTCTTGTTAGCATCAAATGAGGCACTAGTTGTAAATTGCTCTGGATCACATTCATTTTCTTCATTAACACACCATGCCATTGTAATCCTGCCAGCAGTTACATCTTGAAGATATTTATTAATTTGTCTGTCATTGCCAAATTGTAATAACACCTTTACAGCTTGTTCATTGCTCAGCAATTGAATATCATTGCTTTTCTGAGCAATTATCTCTGTAAATCTGAGACTTTCAGTAAGATTTAACTCTCTGCCATTTGATAGTTGTGGTGCTTCCATTCCAAACAGCTGCATTTGCTTTGCACTCTCCCAGAATTCTTTTTTAGTTGCATCTTCACTGTTATCAAAGTAAAATTGTATTGGTCTCAAGTCTTGCTCCAGTTTGTCCACGCGTTCCTTATTAAGTGCTTCGGGATAAGTCAAAATTTCCTCGTCGAATTTACCAAGGAAAACGTTTTTTATGAATGGTGGCCGGTTGGGTTTTTTAATGTTTTGCTTTGTATACATTTGACTGAGTTTCTCTGAAGTTTGTATCGCCTGCTCATTTATTTTTTCATCTTGTTTCTGTTCTTGAAGAGGCTTGTCTTTGGTGACAACTTGTCCAGAGAGATTTCTGCAATGACGAATTAGTGTTTGCTTGAAGGTTTGCCCTCCATTTCTTAATAAAAACTTGGACATTTTAAAGAGATTTTTATGAACAAAGCCGTGTTTGTTTTGAGGTTGGATTTGATACCGCTGACTGATTTACCTGGCTACTTCCGTAAATCAGTATTCGTACGGATCACTGACTACTGTTTCGTCGGCATCTTTTCGATAAATATAAGAGCAACAAAAATTGTGAATATGGAAGAGTAATAAAGGAATTTATGGACGTTCAATCTCAAATATTTTGCATATAATATAACATACTTATATGCAATTCGAAAGAATAATAACCAACCGAGATTGTGAGATTATCGCTTAATTAGTTGCTAGAATTACTTAACTGTACGATGTTAGACCCAAAAGTACAGTAATATGGAAAAGTAAATTGTGATATACAAACCAAAAATTACTAAAGAAATATATTATATTAATTATAATTGCGCGAAGGACCTTAAAATCGCTAGCAAATTTGACATTTTTTTTGTAGTGATCACAACTTAAGAACTAGATTGTAAGTATTGAATTTAGAGTACACGGGAAACGCGCAAAACTATCATTTTTGACATTGATGTACTAATTTTGTTTATCATTTTCATATACAATTTGTTTGATTAGCATACGAAAAACATGCAAAAATGATTTTTTTGTGCTTTGATGTACTAATTTTTGGTGGTTTTAGGTATCTAGCGGGCGAACAAAATGCCCTAGGACAACGATTCTTTCATCAGATTGTAAGCATTGAATTTGTTTATTATTTTCAAATACAATTTGTTCTATTCGCATACGGGAAACATGCAAAAATGACATTTTTGTGCTTCGGTGTACTAATTTTTAGTTGTTTTAGGTGTCTAGCGGGCGAACAAAATGTCCTAGGACAACGATTCTTTCACCAAATTGTAAGTATGGAATTTGTATATGATTTAAATTTATAATTTGTGTGATTAGCACATGGGAAACGGAGTAAAGGAGAGAGGAGAGCAGATAGGAAAGAGGCACCCCGAAAGAACACCAGACTGGTGGCTTGGAATTTAAATTTTTTTGGCGGCGTGTCGTTCTATAATACAGTCAATTCTTATCATTTTTATACCTGCTTTGTTCACGTTGCTTGCCAATTCTTTCTCCTGTTTAGTCGGTCTTGCGTAGTCGTTCAGTGCGCGCGTGATCTGTTTGCCACGACCCTCGTGGCATCTTTTACCGGTTCTTGAGATTTTGATTCGGTAGTAATTTGAAACGGTCGGCAATGGTATTTTGTAATAACACTCGGTTGTGTCCTATGGTTAATGGTTTGCGGAATGTGGATTCCAGAATTGAGTGGCTTTATTCACATGTGTTCCGACGACAACCGTTATGATTTCTCGGACTTTGTTTGTTCCACGTGTGAAGTGAAGATTGTCAGCAAGGGAAATAATGTGAGTAGAATCAATTCTATTTACAATTATCATGTGTCTCTTTGTCGTTTCCAGGAATGGTTATAATAGTCATATTTGACTGAAAGTGTTTGAAAGACTCGCTCCGACTGTCGTAGCGAGCAGTCGTATCGCAGTGCGCGCCCTTGAGTACCAAACGCTTTCAAACACGATCCGCCCCCGCTCGGGTGCCGGCAGCATGCCGAACATGAGTGAAATTAATATTCTCCCGTGTCCGGTGAAACCAGTGGAACGTAATCTTCCACAAAGAACAAAACGGACTTCGATCCAGCTTGATCTTGACGGATTTCAAACTCAACGCGGGGTGAACATTCGTATCACCGAGCCACCAACAATTAAAACAATGGTGAGTACCAACAGATTCGAGGTACTGAATACCATCGCCGCTGGCACAAGCTCAGCCCAAGAAACAAACGAGCATGGAATGGACACCGAGCTGGCCTCTGACACTGTAAAAACTCCACCAAAGAATGAAAAAATTCCGCCGATAAAATTTGAAGGAAAATCCAAACACGAGGAAATGTGCCCATATATAAAATCAATTTTAAATCATGACAATTTCATAATTAAATATCGTCCGGACAAAGTCATGGTACTTGTCAACACCCTCGTTGACCACGCTCGTATCATGAGCACAATAAAAGAGGGACAAAACGTCCACACGTTTACACCCAAGTCCCAAAGAAAGAATGCATTTGTTCTCACAGGACTCGTGCTAAACCTTTCTGAAAAACAAGTCCGCGATGAATTAATCAAGAAAGGCGTGGAAGTCGATAAGTGCTTCCGCATGAAGAACACCAAAGACATCCTCTTCATGGTGACGTGCCCACCAAACTACACCATCAAGATCCTTACGCAGAAAGTAAGGCATATCAATAACAACTCCTGCAACTGGCAAAACTACAAGTCAAAAAAAGACATAATTCAGTGCCACACATGCTAGGAATGGGGGCATGGCAGCTCCAACTGCAGAAAACCACCACGCTGCATGAAATGCGCAGGGCCGCATCTCTCGAGGGACTGCTCGTTTCCAAAAGACTTAAAAGTATACCACCCATCCAAAGAACCGGAAGAAGGCGACATGAATGACGACCGACCGAAACTCAAGTGTCCTAATTGCGGTTTACAACACCTCGCGAACTACGTACACTGTCCGGTGTACGTCAAGATCCTTGAGAAGCGGGAACAACAACGGGAAAGGGATAGACCACCACCACCTGCTGCTCCAAATGTTCGAGACAGCAAACAATTTCCGACACTTCCTGCTAGGAACTACCATCCCACGCAAACAACAACAGCCACTCCAGCCATGCAACAAACGAACCAACACCAATGGGCACCAACGTCATCAGGTACAATTGGTAATGTGTTGCATGAATTAAAAATACTACAAGAATCAATAGATTTGGAAGATTTCCTGTCTTTCCTCAAAACAATTAACTCCACAATTAAAAATCTAAAAGCTAAACCTGATAACTTAACTTTACTAGAAATATTTACAAGCGCCAACAATAACATTGAACAATAAAATCACCAATAATGGACCGTAAAACAACATTTGTAGCTTGGAACGCTAACGGTCTTAAAAATAAAGTACAAGATCTCCGTGAGTTCTTGACAAGAATGAACCCAGATATCACACTAATATCAGAAACAAAGCTAGACACCGCAGACAAAATTAAAATCCCCGGTTTCAATTTAGTCAGAAATGATAATACCAGCAGATCTGATCTATTATAAGTACTATTGAAAACATCGGTATCAAACTGGATAACGGTCTGACTATTCTCTCTATTTACAACCATCCTAACAATAGAATAAATCCCATCGACATACAATCCCTCACAAACTCAGGTCACAAAGTCATCTTAGCCGGTGACTTTAACGCCAAACATACCGAATGGAAATGCCGATCTTGTGACGCTAACGGCAATTTACTTAGAAACATCGTAATTAATGAAAATTTAATCTTATTACATCCCAATGATTTTACACACTTTCCGCCGAACGGAAATCCACCCTCCACTTTAGACTTAGTTGTTGAACGCAACCGACGGCGATAATCTTAAAATATCAGCGAAACAATGTACCTTCCATAACATTATTTGTGTGGTTAAAGACCACGCGGATGAAGTAAAAACAAGTTAAGTCAATAATGGATTTGATTTTCATATGGCTGAAGAAATGCGAGAACATACCTTGATGCAAAATAAATTTTTGCGCGTTTGGCATATCCAAAAAAAATACGAAATAAATATGAAATACGCGTATGATACAAAAAGAGTATCCGATGGCCGAGGGAACATCATTCACGATTTACCTCTGCGTGTGTACAATCCGCGCTTAACGAACGCCGTACATTTCTCGCGCACAATCGAAGGAGAATTTAGAAACAGTACGTAATAACACGACAAAAAATTAAGGAACTCAAAGTACTGAGAGAAAGAATACGTGCGTCCAGATCACCTGACGACAAAAATGAGACTAACGTGGTACGCACGCAACCGCCTGGCGATTGCACAAAACTACTGGAGATAAAGAAACATGTTTGTTTTGAAACACTGATAGTTGTACTCGTACTATGCATGGAACTATTAATTTTTATTAAATTCGTAATTGGATTCTGATAGATAATTTAATTCTACATCGTTTATTTTAGTAACTAACATTAACCTTTTTGACTCTATTTACAATTTTAGAGATTAATGGATTCGTCTTTCGTAGACCTTTTTGTTCTTGACATAATCGCTAAAAAATTCGACCCTGTTCTTCGACCGAAAAAAATTTAACAAAAAAATTAGCGTACAGTAAGTGTTTACTTAACTTTACTTAGCTTATACTCACCATCGTACTACCATTGTATTTAAAAAAAAATTCGACAGAAAAGTTTCCAAAAAAATTCGATCGAAAAAAATTTCGAATAAAAATTCGATCGAAAAAGTTTACAAAAAAATTCGACCGAAAAAATTTTACAAAAAAAATACGACCGAAAAAATTTTAACAAAAAATTCGACCGAAAAAAAATGTTACAATAAAAATTTTAACAAAAAAATCGACCGAATAAGTTTTATGAAAAAAAGTTTGACCCTGTTCTTCGACCAAAAAAAAAAAATTATTAAAAATGTTCGACCCTGTTATTCGACCAAAAAATGAAATTTATTGGACAAAAATAGCGATATTCGAATGGGATTTTGAGACACTTCCAAAGGGTTTATATAGAGTTATAAAAGTATGCATAGTGTTAAGGGTCTCTCAAACTTTAATATAACGTTAAACTTCAAGAAAATCAATTAATTCACGTGATACAAGGTGTTTTACACACCATGTTTTCAAATTTTCCAAAAATTGCTCATTTTTGAATTGCATTTTAGGGCACCGAAAAAGCTGGAAGATTGAAAAGGTATGCATCGTGTAGACAAACTCCCTGACTATATTCTGGCGTGGAGAAACTCGAAGAAAGTCAATTTGTTTCGGAGATACAGGGCGTTTTCCTCCTCATCTTTTCAAATTTTCCTAAAAATGCTCATTTTTGAAGGGCACATTAAGACCCTTCCGGAAGGGTTAGAATGTTGAAAGGGTATTCATCGTGTAGAGGAACTCTCTATCTCTATTCTGGGTTGGAAAAACTCGAAGAAAATCAATTAGTTCAGTTCAAAATTTCTTAAAAATGCTCGTTTTTGAAGGGCATTTTAGAGCACTTCCGTAAGAGTTGGAAGGTTGGAGGGAATACATCATGTAGAGGAACTCTCTAGCTCTATTCTGGCGTAAAGAAACTCTAAGAAAGTCAATTAGTTCACTAGGTACAGAGTGTTTTCCACACCATTTTTTCAAATCTTCCTAAAATTGCTCATTTGAAGATCATTTTAAGGCACTTTCAGAAAGGTTGAGAGATTGGAGGGTATGCATCTTATAGAGGAACTTTCTAACTCTATTCTAGCGGGGAGAAACGCAAAGTAAGTCAATTAGTTCACTAGATACGGAGTGTTTTCCATACCATGTTTTCAAATATTCCTAAAATTGTTCATTTTTGTAGGGCATTTTGGGGCACTTCCAAAAAAGCTGGTAGGTAGGAGGGATATTCATCTTGTAGAGGAACTCTCCCGCTCTAACATGTCGCTAAAAAAACGGTAAAAAGGACTGGTCGTTTTCCACACCATGTTTTTATAACACTTCTTGAAACGGCTACTCTTTAAATGATATTAAAAATAATGATGTTCCTATACAACTAGCGAAATAAAAGCAAATGTATCTGCAGACACCCGAGTGAAGAACGCGGATAAGCCACCGTATCAGCTAACAATCAGCCCGAAACTGCTAGCAGTCCGCTAAACTATCCTCTCTCCCGCTCTCCAGTTTGGTGAAGATCGTGCAGGTATAGACCGGATAATACGTAGTACCGTAATCTAGTCTTCAATGCAATAAAAAAACAATATAAACAAATATACTTAGTTGGAATAATTAACGTTAATAATTGACATATAGTACAGTCATTTGGTGCTAAAAAATGTGGTTACTTGGAAAATAGTGCGGGATTGTTGAAAATTGGTATTCATATAGATTTCGAGGTGCTCTTTACGAATTTCAACTTTGCGACCTCGTATCTTGTTCGCTCGAGCCACCATCTTGGAAAAATGGTGTCAAAAAACAGTTTTTTGACCATATCTCCTTTCCGACTCATTTTACGATAAATATATCTATATAATAAATTAAACTAGAGAAAATTTCCTATAATTTATGTAAGTACCGTTTTCTTGACCGGGCTAATAGTGGCACAAAATATTCAAATAAAAATTGGAAGTTTTTCTTTTGGCAATGAAAATAGACAACATTTTAAATTTTACCTTATCATCCATTTCCTCTTGTACAATTATTAAAAATGTTTCACTTCCACACATAATTTTTCTACATCGCTACAAATAATAATACATCACATGTTTTGCCTCCATGAGTATGTGTTACAAGTTTGTGTGCCCTTTTAATATTCTCTACCATTTCTCTTTTTCTTTATCTTATAGTTAATTACATAAAATTAAAAATGTGAACGTCGAGATCAGTTGAAAACGTTAGTGTAACGTTTCTGCAGCTACCATATAAAATGTATTTAACTTAATAAAAAAAACGAATAAAGTCGCTGATAAAAAAGTTCATTTACGTTCAGTATTTAATTAAAATGACTCCGTTGTAGACGTTGCGTGGCACGTCGCTTTGGTATTCGTTAATTGTGTAAATTACTCTCGTTAGTTATACTTCGAGTCAGACATATTCATGGAATTCTCTCCAATCAACGTATCAGTGAGGTAAGTGCACTTTAACGTGCGATGTATATAGTGCTTGTCGACCGGCTTATTAATGGTCCAGACACAGGGGCGAATGCCTCTATCACGCCACTCCTTTATTATTTGCCTAGAAATTGATGATTTAATTACAACATACTTGTAAGTTTTACACTAATTATATTACGGGCTGACGCAGTCCTTGTGCAGCAGGATCACAGACAATCCAATAAAATGGCAGGTAATACGAGGTAGCGCCCAGCTGTGGACGGTATCCACAATACAAGCTAAATAATGCTTCCATAGAGAATTGTAACGACGAGGACCAACGCCTGTAAGGAAGGAGTACGATTCGTTGCTAAAGAAATACGGTCGGTATGCCAGTGAGCATACGATTTGAGGATCTTGTTTACGAATCTATAAAAAAAACATCAATCAAAAAATTTCAATTGTTTTAAATTTAAACTTACAGCATAGATAATATTTGGGAAGAATGTGGTCACAACAGCGTTATCATAAAGCGTTGGAAATGTTTGATATAATTCGTTTATCACGGGCACCATCTGCACTTATAAAAAGATAACATTCATTTATTTATGTTTAAGTATAGCTTAAGATTAGTTAAAATTACCCTGTAGTCAGACTCCTTAATGTCAATGAACATTTTCTGTCCATCTGCCAAGAGCTGCTTCACTGTGGCATCCAAGGTAGGAATTCTTGTTCCTTCATACCTTTCTTTAAATGGATGATTAGCTGCAATGTCAATAGAATTCAGCTCTTTAAATGTCAGATCTCTTAAATTCCTTTTATCATTGGCCACTCTCTCAAAGGTCCTATCATGGAAAACCACTGGAACACCATCCTTGGTGAGGGCCACATCAAACTCAATGTACATGCACCCTTCAGTAGCACACTAAAAATAAAAACATATACAATTACTATTCAGTCACAAACAGAAAACATGTATTAAAATGTGATGTTTAAATGATGTTAGACCTGTTTGAAAGCAATCAAGCTGTTTTCCGGCGCGTCTAAACCGGCGCCTCGGTGCGCAACAGTACGCATTAACACATTGTTATTTTCGGCTGTATCGGCTTCGCCGACGAGGTGCAGATCTTTGCCGAGGATTTTCTCGAGGCGAGAGTTCGCTGGTTTTGGAGCGCGCAAGAAATGCGCGAGAATAGTAACAACAGCACCGGGCACCAAACCGATAGGAAAATACTGATAAATGAGCAGCATCAGGCCATACCAAAGCGTGTTCAGGGCAAGAGACGTCTGCAAGAAGGTAGACCAGTAGGCACTGAGCGGAATCATTTTAATTAGCTACTGGTGTGAAATTTACTATACTACAGGCGGGTGAACAGAATGAACCGCCGCGTCGAGCGCACGTATGACACTGACAATATACATATGACACTGACACTGACTTGGTGGGTACGCCACCGTGTTTTATAGACTTGCGCCTGGAAACACCATGCAAACAAACACAATCATGTCATGTGTTGAAACAAGAGAAAGGGATTTCATCTTTGTGTGCTCTTTGGTGACTTTACAGATGTGCAATGTTTAAAGTGGGAGCGTCACAATAAGATATTAACAATTTAACAATCATGCGTCAATGTAGGCAACACAATATACATATAGCTACATTACTAATTTAAACGCCGAAACATTTCTAGTAATCTGCACGTGCACATGTTTTACAAACATTTCATCAGTTAATACTTAACTTCTTATCATTTATTATATCGTTCGTTTTAGAAATTACATGGTACTGATGCCTCCTTCAATATCATATCATGTGAAATTACATGTTATATCATTAATCAGCATGTTGTTCGGTTATAAAATAACGTAGTTATTAAGTATTAAATTAAAATGTGAAAACATTAAACAAGCCGAGAAGAATATCGAAATTTGCACAAAAATATAAGTTACTGAACTGCGTGTTTGCGTGTGAGTGTGGAAACGAACGAAAATCCATTAAAATAATATTATTTTTATCACTGATACAAAATTGTCTCTACGCTTTGCTTTACTACCACCGTCGCATCGGTAGGTGGTAGGCGAGAAATTAATTAATATGCGCGTCGGTTGAAAATATACAAAATTCTTTGTTGATGATAGCAGTTATGGAATCGTTTGGTGTCGGTGTTGAAATTGCTGTTCATGAGGTCTGCTCTTGACCGTTGACGTTCTCCTGAGATTTCATCACGTCCGGCAAGTCTGGTGGTGCTGAGTACGGAGCTAGTTCGAGAGGTTCAAATGGTCCATTATCATCCCTGCACAAATTTACAACACAAAACACATTTAGGAAAATTTTAGGCACACAATGTATTATATTATTACCTGACTGCCAAGCCAACTGTGGCAGGACTTTGTGCTTTTGCTGTGACTGCTGTTAGGCCATAGTCCTGCAGGGTCTTCTCATCTTCCATAATCATGTTGTCCTTGTTGAATAGCTGTTGGTTTTGTGGTGCAACTTTTAAAATACCTTCAATTATCTTCTTCAGTTCCAATACAGTTGTGGTATCTTTTGCATCTGTAAATATAGTGAGTTTTCGCCTTCTTATCATTAGAAAGACATCCTGTAACAAAAACCAACATATTGATTATCATTTGTTTTACTTTGTAACTGATACTATGTTTGTTTTCTTTATAATTCAATTAAACATGGCTGGTCCGCATAACGAACGAATGTTAAACGCAAATCTCTCTTTTGACTGACTTAGCTTATCATCAATAGATAAGAAAACGCACTCAAATTGCATTTTGCGGCGAAATTTGCCTGAATCATTACGAATGCGAGGTTAGGGTCGTTAAAGAAATTCGTCAAGGTGAAGAACTCCACACAGATAACGCACTCACCATTTTTGCTGCTGTTGTTGGATATGCCAGGTGCCGGATGGGCCAGAAGACGGAACACGTATCAACAAATTGCGATTGTTTCTTTATCAATTAGGTTTCCATTCTATTTTGTTGACGGTGTGTAAATATAGATGCCAATGTGAAATTCGGACGAGACCGACAAGACCGCAGAAAGCGACACGGTGCGACGTGCGGACACTTGAGCAACTAATTTGTACCACGTGGGTAAGAAGAAAACTGGAAATAGTAACCACAAAATAATTAAACTACCAATGTGTATAATAATCTTATAGTAGAAATGGCAGCGGTTAATTTACACTCGTGGTGAAATAAAATCTTTAACTTTAACCACTTTAAACTTACATAAATCTAAATAAACAAAATAAAATTCTGAGTTCTGCATTTAAAAAAATATGTTCATTCGATTATCGTGAAATTCCTAACGTTAACTTTATTTAATTAAACAGGTTTTAAGAACTGTCATAAAATATCGATTCAAACTCATATATTTCATATGAATCACATCAGTAAATCAAAATAATAAATTAGATACACGCTTAGAGTTACATAATCACAGATACAGCATCGATGCTAATTAAATTAAAATTGAAAAGTTGCGACTGATAGCCATTCGAAGAATGCGTGAATCAATTCCAATCGCGCGTGATTGCGCCATATCCTGAAGCAGGCATTGCGCGCAAAAAGATTTGTTCGTAATGCAAGCGCCGTGGAATCAAATGAATCAAATCATATCATCTCGCATCAATCACAAATTGCCGATGTCTCCAGGTTAATCAAATTTGTTCAGAAACGGCGCAATCGATCCGATGTCCTCGCAGTCGGGAATAATTTTGCCTTTGAATTTGACGCACGCGTCCGCACACAGCTGGCCCTCGAAGTACGGACCGAACATCTTCTTACATTGCGCGCAATTTCTTATACAAACACCTAGAAAGAGCACAAATTGGTTATCTAAATATATAAAACAATAAAAATATTAATTTGGATTTGTTAATAAACGCTTGATTATATTTTTACATTAATAGAATAACGTATTTTGTATTAATTTAATACCAATTTCAAAGAAATAACAATTATTTATTCAAATAAAAGACTAAAAATATACCAGTTTATTATAAAAGAGCGTAAAGCGTGTACTCACCGATTGGATTCGCATCCACATGCAGAACAATATAATTGAATAAGAAAAGCACTCCAACGAGTAGTAAGACTTCCTTCAGCGAACCCATTATATCTGCACAAAGAACCAATTTTTTCGATTTAGTAATGAAACGCGTTCATGTTTCTTTATACAAAAACATCAAAATGAATAACAAAAACAAATAAAAACAAATCACATTTTGTCGGAATACACGATTGCTTCTTGAATTGATTTGTTTGTGTCGTTGAGCACGCGTTTACCTGCAAAGAAATCAACTTTTTGGTGTAATTTACGCGTTAATTTGTCGATGTGCGCATTTGTGGCCGCATTTATACGCTTAGCGTGAAAATCATAAAAACCAGCTCTCCCCATTCGGCGTCAGCAAGTTTTTTTTTCTTTCTTTACAACTTCAACCAATTCGAATGAAGCGTTTTTTACTTCGTTGCTACTGATTAACAAACATCACGATCACGATTCATGATGGTAGGACATTTAAAACCGTGTGCTAGGTAAGTGACGATGATATCTGGACAACACTTTCTTTGCTTAAGCACGCAGCATACATTTTTTTAAACATCGCGTGCGCTGGAGATTTTAGTTCAGTTTCGGTTTGGCGTCGAGAGCTGTCTGCAACAAGGCCGGGTAACCCGGATGCCATCATTCACTCGCCGGCACTTCTCGATTCGCACACACGTTTTGTCGTCCCGTAGAAGGAGCTACGTTTCCGCATCGATTGACAATTTCATTAAGCACTGAACGCACATAAACCGTACCTAGTTTAATGTTTATCTTGTCTTCTATTATAAGAACACAATAAAACCACAGCATCGCTGATATTACAACACGAAACAGCGCTGAAATGTTAATGAAACATCAGTGCATAAAAATTGTTTCCGTTGCAACAAAAAAAAATCTTAAGATTTATATCAATAATAATCCATGCGCGTCTGAAAGTCCTTGATAAAAGATCCGCTTTTGTTTCAGTTCCGGGTTTAATGGAACTTTGCGCTTCCTAATGCGTCAACAAAAGACTGACTTACCGATGTGAGGCAGACGTAAAAACACGTGCAACTTCAGATCGCAACTGACAACTGAATGCAACGCGTTGTTCTTTTATTTTATATACTTTTCCACATAAGAGTGCACAGGCCTTAACCCTCTAGGGGTTCCTAGGAATTTTATTACGTTGGATTAAGTTCACCATTAATGAAATTCAATTTGGTTAATGCACAATGAATAAAATCGTAGAAATTCAATTTGCACATGCCGAAATGGAACCCGCAAACATACTATGCGTCAATAAAACGTGCAGTTGTATGTTTTTCTATGATATATTTGGAAATTACGTATCCTGCGCGTGAGAAAAACCAAATTTTATAGATTTACCGGTTATGTACGTGACAGATAAAAATTACCATAAATGAATTTATTTTTTGGTCTGTTTCGAAGAAATTAATTCGCAAAATTACTCGCAATGCATGCAAATAGTATTAATATGTTTTAATTGAAGATAATATGTTCTATTATTAAATTATTACCATCTTGACTTGTGGCTTGAGTATAATTAAGCCCACGCAATACCAATTCTTGGTTTTCGCACGTAGCCGCGACAACCCGCGAGCGACACGTGTCACCATGGCGGCGTGTTCTTGCGCGGTTGTGCGTGCGTGTTTGGGAATATGTACGAATGCAGTTTAAAAGGCACCCCCGCATTCTGAGGGTATAAATTGCGCGCGTACGATTGGCAAAGCTCAGTATCAATTTCATCGCGACCAAAGAACAAATTTCAAATCGACACGATGGTAAATTTTCATAAGCAAGATGGCTGCTGTGCGCTGTTTAAATTTTGACTATTTTTTTAGAAGTTGGCACTACTTGGTATGATATCACTGGGAATTCTCTTCCAAGTCGTAACCGGAACAATAGGCGAAAGTATACCGGTGTGTCTAAGGTACCGTAAATAATTAACTTATCGTTTTGCCGTCGGCCATTTTGTGTCAGTATCAAGTTGCTTAGACTAAACAAAAGTTTGACAGAATTTATAAACGAAGTCAGTTTAAATAAATATTTGGAAGCGCTAAGCACGCACTTTTCCAAAACCAACCAAAATGTCAAAGAAAACCGGCAAGGAAAACGTGCTCGGTGAAAAGTCCACGAACAAGTTGCGCCCGGACGCGCCTGCATTCATACCAATCGAGAACCTCTTCCGCCACTTGCTTATTACGCAACCTAAGGAAGCGCAGTGCTCGCGGTACTCACGTAAATCCGTTCACATGGAAGTTTTGCCGCGGTCAAACTCCAGGTCCAGCTCGCACATCAGCACCAATAAGAATCCTGCACCGCGGCCTATTCTAGGCCGTCGCGAGAACCTTCAACCCTGTCCGAGCCCCGTATGCAACAAACAATCTCCAGTTAGTTGCAGGGACGATTTTGGCGCGCGCGAGTATCGCTCCGGGTTAAGACGTAGCGGCGGCCGCCAGAAAAACGCGCGTGTCGCTGAAGAGGTGAAAAAGCAAGAGAAGCGAGGTTATTATTCAAACCCGCGCCAACGGAAGAACAAACATACTAATTTAACATGATTATCACGTGAAAACAACCGCAATAAAATCGATGCACCCAATAGTTGTTACAATTGCGTACGTTCTTTGTGTTTTAGTAATTGCATTCAGTGCAAGAAAATGTACGGCAGATACTTTCAAGGGCGCACATGCGGCAACGAGTGCATCGCCAGCAATGGACTGGCGGTACCAGACTGCAACAATCCAGTTACACTCGGAAGCTACCTCAAGAGGTTCTTGTAACATGTTCCGATGCCATGTGAAAGTGTGTAAGCACAAAGATTCAACTTACAGAAAATGTCAATTTATCCACTCTTTCAGGAATATGTATCACACCAACAAAATAGTCGCCCTCTTCGTCCTTCTCAATGTACATGTTAAGTTATTATGTTAAACAAATACAAAAGTGTCAAATCGTAACATCTCCTAAATTATCTATCGGCTAGGACCCTGGGTTTAAGCCCTGGTACGTCTTAAGTGCTTTGTATTAAACATTAATCATATATATATATAATCATACCGTCCAGAATGTCTCGAAAATAGAAAACTGAAATCTTTTCAACAAGAAAATATCAACGATGTCGTTTGTGTCTGTGTTCTCGGTCACGGTCCTTTCCGTGTCGATCGTGGCGATCCCTCTCGCGGTCACGATCCCTATGATAATCGCGCTCGCGTTCCCGTTCCCTGATTGGGCTCCGGTCGCGATATCTGCGTTCGCGAAAATCGTCTTTCTCGCGTCGGTCCTTGGAGATACCATCTTCTGATTTTCTGTAGGCATCACGGCGTCCTCGATCATCGACTGAATCTCTGCGTCGATCATCAAAACGGTTTCTCTCTTGACGATCGACTCGATCAAAGCGTTCAGGTCGTTCTTGTCGATTTATACGGTCCTCTCGGTCTCGTTGATTCGCCACTTGAACGGCCTGAATGGGAAATCGTTCCTAAACAAACACATTAGTTAATAATTTTGTAGAAATAAAATATTTGTAAAAAAAACTCATACTCCAAGAACTTGTTGAATTTTCTGCTGAATCGGCACAGGAATGCGAGGAAACAGAGTCGAAAACCACTCCAATTTGACCATCCACTGCCTGAGAATCATGCCAAGTTTCATCACCTGCCCACCGCCCGCCTTCACATCCATTTCCTGAGAAAACAATCAAACCACACTTACTACAACATTCCATCAGTATTATACTCAAACAGAGTAATAAATAAAATCGTAATACTTCTACCTGCTTGATGTACGCACCTCTTCATCGTCAAGATACGGTTCGTACCAATCCGCCAAACTCGCTGGTGGCAGTACATATCTTATATACATAAACCCGAGTGCCCTAATGTAGGGCGAATCACAGTGTGTGATCAAACCATTGAGTTGCTTGCGTGTTAACTTCAGCGTAAACAATTTATATAGCAAGCAATAGGCGGTGGAGACAATCCCTCCGGCGCCAACACCACGAACTCCTCCGCACATTCCCGTCTGGCCCGATGTCCGTCTTGAACCCTTCTCCCATGGCTCTAGGTGCTGGACCTTGTAGTAGATTTCGTCGACAACTTCATGGTATGTTTTCAACTCGTACAGATTGACTACAACAAATTTGGACAAAACATGTATTAACAGTTTTAAATTTGTTGGTTGTTTTTATGAAAGGGGCATTATTCTGCAAACTGTGTTGCAAAATAATTCTTTACCGTGTTACGTCCAATGCAATTTTGGCTGGCAATAACCATTGTGAGCACAAATCGCGCCTGGAACAGATTACTTTTTGTTATTTAAATTAATTCAATGTATTATACATCTTTCACTCAGGGAAGACAATTCTTGACTGAAAAAAACTTCAAATTTAGTAAATCCATGCCTTAATATTTAATATGCAGCCATTAAACAGTATGCAGAATATTGCAGCATTAAAATGGGAACAATTACATACCCTTGAAATAATGTGAACTTTGTATATTGGTGAGGATGAGATTGTTTAGATTCATCGTGCGTTCGTTGCCCCAAAGAGGTAATACGTTGCTGGCTTTGGAACTGGTTTTGTTTCCCTCTGCAAAACAGACAAACATCCTTATCAATGCAAATATTAGCAACAATTGACCAATATCAAAACATGTCAAAGTCACGTAAATTAGTTATTATTCGAACCAGTATCGTAGGTAACAAAATCAATAGTATTTTAAAATAAAATGTGGCATTTTTAGGCGATATTCGCACAGGTTTAGTGAATTATTCTACGATCGAGAATATAGTTAGGTTAGGAATGTACATATTCATACTTACGACTTCCAGAGTTCTCTCCTTCATCGCTGTAGGCGTTGTAATTGTTCATGATGATGGTTGCAGTTTAGGCCACTTACTATAACTAATTAGGTACCGATATAAAAGTGATTTGCTAAGAAAATTTAGCGAAAGCGTCGTAAAACATGACGAATTGTGTCGTATGGCCGTCGTTAACGAACGTGCCACGGAAACAACCGAAAAATCCGATTTCTCCCTCCTGATTGGACAAGTAAACCACCATTTTATTTCTTTCTTTTCAAATAATTTTTGTTTATATTTATAAACTCGAAAAATAAACATTCAAAAGTGAATATGATTTTCAACATTTAAACATTATTAAATGATGTACTTAATAATAAAAATATTCGAAATACACAATTATTCACAAGTTTATCAATTAAAGTCAAGAAAATGGTCTAAATTTATATGAGTTAATAAATTGAGGATCATAATTTAACCAACTATACTACTAACACCACGCAAAGCTAAATATCCAGCAGTAATGTCCATTGGCATGGTGGCTAGTGTACTGTATTCCTCCTTATTTGCAAATCTTAGTCTTGTTTGTGGATCTGAGTAGGGTGCAGGCAATCCAGAGAGATCTGAAAACTTCTCAGCTGGTAGAAATGACGGTGGTGCGTTGATAGAACTGTACAAAATTTGATCTTCTGGCCAGGGTAGAGATCTTTCAGAGGAAAGAATTTGTTTCAGTGATTTCCAAGCCCTTTTCTTGTTACCAGCTTTGTTGGATGCCACAAAACTTCCGGATTTGAAGACGGGTCCCAGATTAGTGGCACTTTCGTCAATAGAACTCATTTTATTTTGTTATATTGTACAATGTTCCTAATAGTCAACCACAGTAGGCAAACGGTCAATGTTTGTTAGTATTTACATCACTAGGTTATAGTGTATGTTGGGTTGTATACGTCAACAGCGCAAAAACAAAAATTAAACTTTTAAAACTTTTCAACTTCATAATTTGCGTAAGAATGCAGTTTCTCATTAAAGGTGAGAATATAACTAATGATATTATGTGAAGACAATTCGCAGGAATCTAATTGAATCCTAATTAACACTGGTGAAGGTGAAGACAATATGCAACCGTTATAAAAATCCCCGTTGCTTCACCGAAGCGTGAAAAGTCAACTATCACGCAGCAATGAGCGTTGAAGCGTTCGTGTTTGATGTTGTGAAAGGATTCCGAAACGAAAGGGTTCGTTCAGTGCGTTCGTCACGGCCGGCATTTTCATTGTCGCGCACAGAAGCAGTAAAAATAAAAACGCGACGCGGAGGGACGAAGGGCGGTTTAATCCGATTTCCAGGTGCCATTCATTCACACATCCAACTGCAATACTACCGCTTACCAACACTAAAAAAAGCTCGAAAAAGCTCGTAAACGCACAAAGGCAGAATTAAGTTGACGGAGACTGGCAGTCACAGTTAAAACATAAAAGTATATTCCTATTAATACGATTTAGAAATTTAAATGTGGGACTGTGGAGCAGGCAAATAAATGGAGGAAAGCTCACGGGGCTAATTCCACTAGTTTGTGCCACCGCACGTCGCGCATCGGCCATTCAGTCGGTCACGAAGCGAAAATGGTCATAAAAAAGCCAAATGTAAATGTTGCGTGCATCGAACACATCCGGCGTTGCACAATCCGTGTCACAACACTTGAACACTCGACGTCGCCAGAGATCTTGAACGATCTTGAGCCGCTAATGCTTAAATCCATACTAATGGTTCTCTCAAACGTCTAAAACAATGGAAACAATGAACCAGCCGTGCGGGTAGTTCTTAATCTCTTTCACTCAGCTTTTTATATTTATTCTGCGGGTCGCATCCGATATCTAGTTTTTGCGGCCGCGCAGACAACTCGAGTATCGTTTGAATGCGCACAGAGTTGCAGACTGATTGAAGTGATCGAATGACACGACAACTTCGGAGAAAGAAGAAAAATCCACGATCGCGCGAGTGTCGAGTAGGAAAGAAAGGCATGCGAATCGAAACAAGAGAAAATGCACGATTGTGAAAAGAACAGCGGCGGACAAGAGCGCAAATGAACGCTTTCAATACACAATCCTTCAATCCCTTCAATCGCTCGCGTTGTGTTTTGTGTTCTTTCATTCCGAGCGCAGAATGCGAATGCAACTGTAAGCTGTAAGTGGCTTCCAACAGCAGACTCCAGCCGGAGAGCGCTAAAACGGCGAAAACTCTTCAGACTGGCGCGCACTGATGCATTTCGAGCGCACTGCTCATTAATACTAAGTGATACAAAAAGGTGTAGGATGAGGCTGAAACTTTTTTCAGACATTCACAAAATTCCTCCGAATATTATCGCAATTCGTGTGTAGAAGTAGAAAAAAAAGATGAGCAACGTTAGTAGACAAGTTGGCTCGGCCGCCCCCACTCACGCACCGCCTCCGTTTCACTCTTTGCACTTATCACAAGCCGGTGCATTCGAGCGAAATGGTAAATGGTAGAAACTCGTTCTACGTTTCTACTCGCCGTACCTACAACGAACGGCGCATCGGGCTGTGGGGCAAATTTCCTCCGTCTCTTCGGGTAGATATTGCGCGTTCGGAGCGCGGGCCGCGCGCGCTTTGCCATCGCAGTCGAGTGACGCGCGTCGTACGGCGAGGTTCACAACACAGCGAGAGAAGCTTTCAAAGCTCGCACACGAGTCCGAAACAAAAACAATCAGTGCGCGCGCGACCGAGTGTTAAACAAACATTGTTCATGCGCTAAATAATCGTACAACTTGTAACTTCTAAACACACATTTTCATACGATTACAATTGTAAAGTGTTCCAAAGTGAACGAAAGTGTCGAAAACTTGGATTTTCAAATTTTATCAGTGAACAATTTGACTAATTTGCTACTTTTGGATTGTGGACTGATTGTAAACGCTGCAATGGGTTGTAATGATACTTAAAACGTAAGCAAAAATAAATTTATCTAAAAAAAGTCTGCGAAGTGATTTTTCTGGTGTCAGTTTTAATACAATTAATCAGAGTTGATTAATGTCCTAATTAGATATGCCATGTCGTCGTGTCCTTTTAAATTTATTATGTTTTTTGTTTGTCTGCGCCCATTTTTCATTCCAGACGCTGTTGCATCAAGATTTATACTGTACGATTTCCTACATTTATTCGTCTGCATTTTATGCATAAAATTTTTCAATTTCACTTGTCTGCCGATGTAAATTAGCATGGCACGGATGCAAGTGGTGCAAAAGAAGGACTATTTTTACGTCTCTACCGCGTGAGGAAGAAAAAGCGTCGCACGTAAATTTAGAAAATTGGACGTCGTTTAAAACGTGGAAGTCGACGTCGTCGTCGTCATGTGCGGCTGTCATACGCGCTCGCTTCGGCAGGTATTCTCGACGACGGCGACGTCAATTAACGACTTCGAGGCCTGCATTCTCTTCCTCCACAAGCACGCGGCATCCATCCAGCGTGTACATTCAATTCGAATGCATTTTTGTTTCGCTCGGCTTGCAGAGTGCGTTTAAAATGTATTTCGTTTCGCATCGCTTCACCACATCGCGTTCACTACATTCATCAACGTCTACTTCTTTTCTTTTTCCTCCTCCTCCTCCAACCTCCTCGATACCGCCGGAGTTTTTCGGTCGAGGCATATTTAATATTCATATCTTTGTTGCGACTTGTGTCGCATTGCATGGCTTCCGAATTTTTGACTTTGAGATTTATTTCATCACGCAGCAAATCTGAAAAAATTCAGCGTCAATTTGTGTTATTCTCATGCGGAAATTCCGGTGAAAAATTGCCAACGAAATATCAGCGTAAAAAGTTTCGAAATTGATATTTTCCAGCGAAGAAAAAAAAAACGTGCGGTTTGCATTCATGGCAAACGAACGAAAAGCGTCGCAACGCACGAACGGAAGCGAAAACAGCAAGTTTTGCCATTTCTTTGCGGACTTTTCGACTTTTCGCTGAATGCGATTGCAAGCGGGGGGGTTTTCATCAATAAAACCGCACACAAAAGACGACCCAAGCGGCAAAGCGCAATCAAATTGCCTGAAAACTACCCTATTTTAAAACATTTGTTTCTCATTAAGCTGCTTGGCAAGAAAACTCCGGAACGCGAATAAACTCTCTTGGAATTGTCATTGTGAAGCAACCCACGACTCGTGTTCATTTTATTCAATAAATATATTCGCTGGTTGCTGCGTGGAAGTGTTTCAATAAATTCGCCATAAACACGGGCATTCATAGCGCGCGCACAAAAGCTCGCCGAGGGTGCGCCGCGCCGCCCGAATGCACCGCACATGAATACTAACAAGCCGTAAGAAGATGCTGCAAGAAAACATCGAATAAGTCCCAAAACGAACGAAGCAATCGACACGATTGCAATACCGCAATATGTATGCGAATGTTTGTCGGTTGCGGCGGCAGCGGTGGCGGCGGCGTATTGCTTCCGTTCCGGACGCGCTTTGCTCACTTTTGCTCCGCAAACAGCGCCTACACTTTTACATCTTTATGGCATGTACACTTTTTACACGCATTTTTTTACCGCGTTGCCCTCGCGCTAGCGAAATAGTCTGTTCAACGTCTCGGAAGAGGCATCATCTCCCCCGCGACGCCCCAGGGCCTCCGGGGCAACTTGCATTTCTATTGCTTCTGTTGCCTAGGGTTAGCATGGCGCTATTTAGCCACTGCGCGCATCGTTTTCAAGCACCAAGGGAATTTCATCTCGGGTATTGACTTACAAATTTCGCACTGCATGCGCTTCGCTTCAATTCACTCGAGTTCACATTCCAATATGCACTTCATTTTCAATTTTTTCCTCCACATTTATTACGATGCACCTTTCCGGTATCTCAACCATTGAAGATGGTCAATTGGTTGTCTTTTTGTGGCCAGCATTTCAAAGCAAAAATGTTGTAAAGCTTTTGTAACAAGATTAGAAAGCGTCTTAATTGACGGGAAAACCACTCTAATAGAAACATCAAGATCTTGGAATGTGTGCGAGCACTTTGTGACCTTTTCTTGTATCTTCAGAAACGCTGGAAACCTTTTAAAGGGCCATTTTTTCTCATAATGTGCACAGACACGCATTGTGCGGAGTGCGTTACGTTTGTCATCACTCCCTATTCCATTCTTCAGCAGTGCGCGCGCCCTTTGCGCATTGGTTGCATGAATGTTACTCTCGTTTAAAACGAAACCACTTTTGTACGGCCCCAGCATCGGGTGAGTCAAGTGCGTGTGCGAGCAGATGAAGAAGTCCTCGCTGTGGGCTTGTTGCTCGCTTCTTGTTGCCCTTTTGTCAATTGTCCCTCGTCCGCCTAGTCCCTCTGGGCTGTCGGTTTTTGGAGGAAGGTTTGGGTTACCGTAGCGCCAGGCCCATAAATATTTCTTTGTTGTGCGGAATATTCTTCGATTTATTATGATTTTCCAAGAAGGGAACAGGTTGTTCTCTCACTGCGTAAGTTGTCTTTGTAGGTAGATATAGATATGCAAATGTCCACCGGGGAGAAGACATTATGGGAATTAATACGAGAGAAAATTATGGAAATTTTGTTTTTTTTCAGAGGATATTATGAAAATTAAACAGTGATTAACATCACAATCAATCTTTCAAACGTCGCGGTATCAAGGGATCCAATCAAGGAGGAAGTGATTTAAAACTTTTATATTTACATACATTTTTAATGCATTGTAAATGAACGCTTCAGAAATGAGTGAATTATTTATTGCCCCAAATTGAATTTTCAAGGCAATAAAAATATGCCTAAAGATTATTCTTCTCTAATACTAATGCATACTTAGCTGCAAGTGTTAAAATATAGTTTTAATAATTTATATCAATTTTCGTTGATGTTTGTGTCGATTAATTCCTATAAAACAAACTGTCACTTAAATTACAAATGTTTTCATGTCTGCCCTTCCATTTAACTTTGGTTTGGTGGCGTAAGCGAATCTCAATAAAATAATCATAAATTCAGAGATTCCTTCGCCCTCGAAGCTCAGTTCATAACTTCATAATAACGCCCGAATGCGCCGCAGTCGCGGTCGTGCATGCGTTAACCTTAAGCGCGTCCGCGCCGCGGCGTTAATGAAGCAATTGAGATAAACAATGCGAGTTTACGAGCACTACGAACCCGAAACGCCGAAGAGCACATCGTATTTTCATAATGCGCCCGCGCGCTCGCTCGTAATTGTGATGCGATGAGCAAGTTTTCGTGTGAGTATCAATAACAGAGGCCACAATGGAGGAAAATCCGAACGCAACAAGCAAATAAATTTTTATTGCGCTTCATACCGCGTTATTATTTCGATATTTATTACGGACAGAGAGCGCAGGGGTCACATTAGTAATAATGAGGACGTTTTCCAAGCGCAAGAACCAAAAACAACCGCAAAGAACACGTCCGCGGAGAAAAAGAGTTGAAATCATCTCGGGAGTGAGAGATGCGAAACATATGCGCGGAGCGTTTAGCGGTCGAGCATATCGCGCAGGGTTACCATACGTGCGCACCTTTGCATCATTTTCGCTTTCTTTGCAAATCGCCGTATCGCGCATATCCCTTGTTTCTTGCACGACTGCACTGACTTCACCGACGTGCATGTAACTTAAACTCGCGGGCTTAAATCGGCCGTAGCGGGGCGTAATTTATGAAGCACGTAAAGACGTGACGTGCCGGCTCGGCGAGCTTGCGAATGCAAACACACATATTAAATGCTTCTTCAAATATGTTTGCGCACTGAGTGTTTGCCTAATCGCATGTTTGATCGATAAATTTCCGTCGGTAAATTAGCATTTATTGCGTCATCAATGTTTCATTTTATTTGCACTTCTAGGCAACTGTGTATTACATTCTTGTACATTGGGTTGCATACATTTGAAAGAATAACTGTCATACTTTTGGTGTGACAATAAAATAATCTCCTCACACATTATGAATCAAATTATCAAAGTCTCGGCACTGACATTGTATCATTGTTAGTTTTTCAAACGCATGATGCTGTATTCTTCTTGGATTCATTGTCCGTGTTCATTCACATTCATTACAGCTCGAGTTCTTCGGCCGTCTTTGCCCTGCTCTTGAAGATTCATTGTCTTCTCGTGTGTTATTGTGTTTGGGTTATTGTGTCACAGCGCTAATGACTGATGGCCTCTTCCGTTGTTTATACCAAGTGTTGGCGATTTATGTTTACGACAAGAGAAAAGTAAATAATGTTCAACGCAATTTGGCTGGTTAATTAAGCGCGCTGTTTATTTTTTTTTGTCCGCAATTCGTCGTTCATTTGTTGTGCTGGTTTCGCTTACGGTTTACGCAACAAGCGAGCGAAGCTCGAGAAGGACGATGTTATACTTTTTCGTCGTCTTTCATTATTATGCGACTCCACGACGCTGTGTAACGCTGATTATACTTATTATGTACATGCATAATTAATTAACAAATTAATTAATTACATTTCATTATCTTTAGTGGTGTTATGGTCGTGTTTCTTTGTAAATCTACACGATTGTATTATATCGTGTCAAATGTCAAAAGGCAATGACGTCATCTGTGTTATTTAACCTAACTTTTTCTTTTTAACAGTGTTGCCTTGACTTAACCTTCAATATAACGACGCCATTTGTTACAGTTTGATGTAATTTTCATAAATGCTTGTTCTCGGTTTTGTAAACGTTTGTTTTTTTAATCATCAGACACACCATGTTTGGATGCACTTTGTGGGTTGTTCCGATCACTTTCCGTGTATATATGTTATTGGCTCCCCTCGATCCGTAGCCACATAATTGATGGTAGGTGGTAGATTGCGTTTCGTCTCTTCTTCATCATCGTGCGTCGTGTTCGATATTATGTTACCTGAGCGAAGAATGCGGTGCGTATCTTGATGCGCGCGACGAAACGAACCGAAAACATTCCTCGCCTGCTTGTGCGGTGTGTTGGCCCCCTATCTGTATCTTTCCGGAGCGTCGCCAAGACCGCGATGCACCTTTATCGTTACACACGCGTGTATCTATCTAGGTATTCGACATAAATAAAATGTGTATCGAACGACGTGGAATACTTAAAATGGAACGATTCCAGCGTCTGATACCGCACATGTGAAAAGCCAAAGCTTTAGGACAAAAAAAGGCGATTAAGTTCCCGCTTTATAGAAATAAAAGCCTAAAATCATATCGTACGTAACAAAAGCTTTTAGGTACGAATCAAGGTAACAGAGCAAACCAAACTGGAACGTAATTCGAAACTAAAGCTTTTAAATGCAACCCGACACATAATAATAATAATCTGATCATTCTTGTTCAAATATATCTATTTGTAAGGACCAAAACAAAATCGTTAAATTTTAATTTTGTCGAACGAATTCAATTAGTGTGAGTAATTAATAAACTTGTTTGGTCCACACGGGTCAATTTTGACATCGCTTTGACAGGTTTGACAGTTTTAATTATTCTTTCTAACGTTGCCAACGCCAGTTCTTGCTCGACTGCAAGCCGCAAGGAGACATGATGAATAATTGAAGCTGTCATACTTTTTGTTCTGTCCATTAGCGGTTTAATCATCTCGTCATAGTCCAAGTGGGCTGTTAAAAGCGAAAGATGACAGGGCAAAATTCCACTGTTTTATAATCGAGTGCAATTACTACTTGGAACATGGTATATTCTTTCTAAGTTTACAGGGTGTTTTTACAGCTGATGTTAATTTTAACTAATCCAATAAAGTGTCCAAACTTTTCACGATGTGAGAGAAAAAAACCTGGAAACTTTGCCGAGGCAGCCGCCAAACGAATTCTTAAATTAGAAGGAATTTAATTTAATGTCGGCAAGAAAAGTTTTAATTATTAATTTATTCACAGCGACATTGAACGCTTCGTTTCAACAAATCGTTTAATCTTTTACGGGAGCACATAAACTTATAAGTTCTTTTTTAATCTTTGCGTTCTTAACTGTGGTTGATTATATTAATTAATACGTTCGCATTAAGTGCGGATTAGGAGCAATTCAAGTTACAAAGCGCTCACATAAATTTCAATTTTATCGATGGAATTAATTATGAATACTTGTTTATTGCCTACGCGAAATAAAAATTGAATCATTTTAACACTGTTTTATCTAAAGCAAATTGAATAACATTTTTCAAAAATAGGCAGCCATCAAAAAAGTAATTATAAAGTTGTATTTTTTGTTGGCGATGAAAGAAAACATATTCAATTAATTTAAATATTGTCTGGAAATACTCATCAACTCGAGATAAAGTAAAAATATTAAAATACATTTTTCTTTAATATTAATTTTAAAAATACATTTAATACGAACCGCTACATTTAATAACCTCAAAAAATATAACAAAAATAACTGCATTGTTGTCTTGTATATTTTTTCCCAAAATTATATAAAAATTAAGAAGGCATTATTTATTTACCGTTTGTATAGAACAACTGCGCAGTGCGCATAATCATTTTATGTGCCGCAGCAGTAAAATTGCATTTGCATTGTAGTAACGATGATTCCAAAACTAAAAATATAAGTTGATTCAAGTGAAATGCGAAACGAGACAAACATTTACGAAATTTAATCCTGATTTACGAGAGTAACTAAATCCTTTTAATAAGGCGCGAATGCAAGCACGCTCAACATAAATATAAACATAAACAGTTGCTCACCAACCGTTGAGTTGTAAATGTTTGGAGTGGTTAGAACGCTTCATAATTAAAATATAACTATATTTTAGTTAAAATTTATAAAGCTCCGCTGGCTGCGAGGTAAATTTCAACTCGTTTTGGAAAGGATTAAATAACGTGTTTTCTTCATCATCGTCAACATCGTGCCGCTCGCGAAGACGCAGTCTGGAAACTTGAAAATGCCCATATGAATAGTATTGCGACATTTTCATGAGCAGTGCGTCTTCAGCCTCTCCGATTACAATTATTAACTATGCTGTGTTTAATAAAGCGCTAATGTTCCTCCGAGAAATTTAATTATTTGTGGTTAATAATTAACAATTTAGCATTGTGAAACCGCCAGGCGGGCATGTCATTAAGTTTTAATGCCCGGCGACGAGTAAATTATTTATGTAATTGCCTCGTAAAATGCCAAGCATATAAGTTTTTTTTTTTATTAAATCGAATATAAAAATTTAATTCAGAATTCAGAAATATGTTACCGATCCGATGTTGTAGAATTTTATTTACAGTGTTGCCATTTGTTAGCGGAAGTGACGTCCCATTAATAATGGCCGTCAATTTATCACACTAAACGTCAATTGTTGAAATTGTGGAAAATTTATTGGATTTTCTGCTCAGATCTAAAATTTTTCAGAAAAGAGCTGAAAACCGAACGTCTATATGTACACACAGGGCTTTCTTGCGTCTTACGTTCTATTATCCGTTATTTTCAACTCGATGTTCTGTTCTGTTCTATTGTATCGGCCCGGTGAAGCCCGGCGGGCACGTTGGAAACCCGTCTAATGTACACACACGCCCCCGCCGCCGCCGCTGCCTCCGGGCAGGACCCGATAACAAATGCATGCATGCACAATGCGAGCGGATCCATCATCCGAATATATCTTCTTCTACTTAGACGTGGCCCATGTGCCTTCTTTGGCCTAGCGTCTTCGGTGCAGCTAGGGCTGAAGTGCAAACACACGCCACCCTCGTTCAATTTTGACGAGGAAGACGGGCCCGACGCGTCGACACCGAGGATAAGAAAATCTATTGCCTTTAAAGTCTCGAGGCGATTCGCCAATACAGAAAATCGACGAATAAAGTTTACACTTTGCAGTTTACACCAAGCAGCAGAACGAAACTTTTATAAGCAAAAATAATCATACTGTTTGTTTTCAGATTGTGGTGGTAACGACGCATCGCAGTAGCGCTTGAGATGATGGCGATGAATATGCTGCTGAGCTGCGTGCTCAGCCTGATAGCGCTGAGCGCACTCGCAGTTGGCAACAGTGCGGACGTAAAATGTCCCAAGTCCTGTTCCTGTACCGGCAACACCGTCGACTGCTCCCAACGGGGACTCACGCAAGTTCCGCGGAATATACCCGCCGATACCGAAAGAATGTAAGTCGATAAAATATAAAATGATCCCGCATCGAGATTTTCTTCATCTGTTGAAATACTTAATGCTAAAACAGTGTTGCCAGCTGATGATGATGGTGATTGCTTGTGTCACGTGACGTCAAAAACTGCGCGTCACACTATAAATATCGCCTAATTGAATAATTCAAAGCGATCTAATCGTTTATAGCGCCGCATTTGCATGAAAATCAAATCCTCCTGCATGCAGTTGCCGCGAAGAAAAGCTGTCGGACCAGCTAGACTTCCACAAGTGCAACCAACAACTAATAAGTGTAAACTAGTCACAATCATGCGTTCGCAGTCTACGAAGGCTACGTCTTCGTCTCCTGAGACGATTGACTTTCTAATTCCCTCGTGCCGTTGGTGCGCACCACGCCGTCGTATATCATGTACACATGTTTATGATAAACAGGCATTCCAGCATTGATAAATAAACAACGCGCTGTAGGTAAACGGTTCGTAATGGAGGTCGTAATAAGTATATTATATGCTTGCGTTAATAACGCGTCTACGACAAAGTCCATGGGGCTTTGGAAATTTGAATTACAATATGTAACTGTCCTGTCTCTGTAATACTATATAATGCGGTAATGTTGTCGTTAACATAGAACAGCAGCGCATTTAATAACGTAGCGGCGGCGGCAGTGTTTTTTCAGTCGGTCTTCCTATGTCGATTATTTTATTTGCGCTAGTACCTATATAGTTTGTTTGTAGGTATAATATTCTTATCGGGTTGGGTTATGCAGAAACATAAGCTGTAACACATGCGTCTATCATAGGCGAATGCGTTCGGCTCGAGAATTTCACGATAATTAACGTCAATTAATCGCCAACGGGTTGGCGTATTACATTATTCAATTTATTGCCTATTAATTCACACAATTTTATTGCCTTCGGATAAATGCAATGTGTGTAGACGCAATTGCGTTTGAATTTTCAGTTGATGGAATGTACAGTTTTATATAAAGATATTTTTTACGAAAAAATGTTAATTAATTGTTAATTAAACTTATATGAAACTTACAATTATATAAACACCATTTTTATTTATATTTATTGATATAGATGAGTATTTTATGGTGATTTGTTATGAATGTGATACAATGTTGTTTATTTATGTTAAAGTCAGCACTGATTGAGTGATAAAAATGGACTTATCTTTATGGCCTAATAATATTGTTTAATAATATCGATTCACATTTATTTAGAAGGACAATTTACATATTCCAATAACAATATTGTCTTTTTTCGTTTAGAGAAAATAAAATTATCAAAAAATCTTTAACTTTGGAAGTAAAGAAGATACGGACAAGATTTTTGTTTACTCGAATAAATCTTTTTGAGGACTTTAAAATGTTGTTTTCAAAAAGTGTGATAAAAATGCATGCGCAATTTAAAGGAGACGATGCCTTTCTGACCATTAACTTTGGTTACATTGAAGGTTATGAAATACTGAAATATTGTCAAAAGCGTGCTAAATTTGTCTCGTTTTTAATGTGTCTGCCACGATGGTACCTAAGCAAATTTTAATACTTCCCATAAATCACATGATTTACGAGTAGCTTGCAGCGTCTCGTAAAACGCGCATATTAATTTTAATGCTATGCGAAACACGATTTCGGTGCAAGACCCCAATCAATCCGTCGCCACATTTCCGCCAGTGCGAAAATATTCGGGCAACTTTCAGCTAATATTTGACGATTTGATTGATTCGAAACAAGTTACACACGCACGTCCGTTCCGAAAGTGTCAAACTCGTAGCCAGCCGAGAGTACGAAGTGCGAGTGCACGCACCAGTAAGGCACAAAGTGCTTTATGGAACACGGAAATTGAATAAACGGACGGAGACGACGCACTCAACGAAACCGACACAACAAATAACATTACAAGTACACATCTACACATACTGTGTACGAGAGTACAACTATGGGTACGCACTCGGCGCGGATTGTGTGAAGCGCACACGCGGCTGCCATTCATGCAAGCCAACACACTCGGACGTGTTCAATCAAGAAGGTATTGCTTCGAATTGCTACTATGTGTTTGCTTTGCCAGCGAGGGCCAAGTAAGCAAGCAAGATCTACAAGAATAAGAAGAAGTCTACCAACTTGAAGCACAAGAAAGAGAAGAAAAAAGCGAGGCGCGCTGCAACAACTTACATCGATAGGGTTAAACTCGACTGTATCGAGCTGGAAAAACATAAATCTTGATCAAGCAGGGACGGCAAACCCGTTTCCCTGATGGTCCTTTTTCCCTTCATGCCTAGATAGAGAGTTTTGCCCCTTTAGGTTTTACATCACATTGAGTGCTTATTCGACTAAGATTACCAACAACTTGCGAGGCGACCAAACTTTGTACAGACTTTCTTTATCTATACACACTACACAAGATACGCTTGTATCCGAGAACAACTGATTGGTTCATAGATAAACTAAACTTCGTTTTAAAACATTCCTACTCAACACTTATTTTTTTTTCAACTTTTAGATCGATTTTTTATGATGCAAATTCGATTCGAGTGCAATTTGCGTCTATTAGCGATCACTCTACTTGAAGGAGAGAATTGAGTGAGTGCTTTCTTACGATGTGGCCTCCGGGTGCCATTATTGATTTATTAGGCGTGTATTACGTACACTTTACCTATTAAACCTCTCCGGGCGAAATGCTACCTGTGAGCTACCTGATTGCTTTTGTGCACTCAGCGTCTTATGTGTGTGGCAATTCTGCTCTGCTTCAGCAAACCCCAACACAGCCAATTCTCATCGAATGAATTAATTGATTACGTTTACGTAGTCTAGCAGCGCTCACTCGGCTTCTAATCGAATTCTAAACTAATTCTCTACGATGAAAAAGTTCCAGGCGAAAAGCGTGCGAAATTCATTGAAAGATTTGGAAAGTTTTGCTATTCTCAGCGGGGATTGTTGAAAGGAAAGTTGATAACGACCCAAGGTGTGTAGAGTGATGACAACGGCAACAAACAAACTAAACAAACGGTCGTCAAATGGCACATACTCGTACAGTTATAGGTATCGATTTTTCTAAAATTTGCTAAAAATAGTTTAGGTAACAACGTAATTTTTACTTTTTTTTACTTTTTGTCAGTTTTTTACTATTTTTTTCATATTCGTGATTTAATTTTTTGACTTTAATGCCTTGGAATATAAATAACTATATACTAATACTAATTTATAGTTTCACCGCCTTAACGGAAAAACTTTCAACGAAAAGTTTAATTAAAACCCATAGTTTCGTTCTAGTTTGCTAAAAAATCAGAGCGGAATAAATTGGAAGATGAAAGAGAAAAAATGAAACCTGAAATAATCTATGAAGCTGCCAAGCATCCGACTTTCACGCTTGCACTTGACTAATTCAGAAGAACAAAAATACGCATTGCCACGCAGCAAGTAAATTTGTTCCTGGAAGCGTGCATAGCGAGCGTATTCGAAGGAAGCACAATTTATGCAAAATTAATCCCCGTTTAATAAGAAAATCTAAAGTTGTTCTTTGCCGCGTGCCAAAATGATTTGAAAATTTTCCAAGAATTATATACCGACGCCGACCACGCATGCAATTTCCTCCTAATTTATCACTTGTACTGCATTATGGTGATTTATTTTGTTTTGCACATTACCCACACCTGACAATTACACCTAATTTAAGCCGCGCATTTAATAAATTAAACCATTCGCGTTTGCGAAACGTTTAAACATTCATTAGCGAATCCACACACACACACACATGGATAATTCGGGATTGGTTGCCAGCCGAGACAAAACAGCCTTAGGTGTGTTGGAGGCGATAGTCGCATAGTCACAAAGATGATTAACCAAAGCCCATTAAGCTAACAAGTATGCCCTGATAAGGCCGAGAGGAGCGCCGAGCAACAGCGTCCTCGCATTGGCATTTATGTATGTGTGTGTGTATGTGTGGTGTGTACGGTCAATTAACTGACGATCTGATAAGGACCTCGCTAACCTGTTCAATCCGCCATTGGACGAGTTGCAATGGAATATCTGCGAGTAGGTACTACGCAGTACAATAACTTTGTGTGCGCAGCTCGCCGCTGCAGTCGCAACAATGTCAGAAGAAGCGATCGGTCGCGTGGTGTGCTCCAAGTCATATAGGACGACGTGGAGTAATGTCTGCTCGGTTCGTTAGCATTAGCATGCGACAATGTTGGTATTACGCCAGCGCGTCGCGATCAATGCGCGACAAACTTAATTTTCTGCTCGCCGAGGTTTGCGTTTGAGATAGTGTCGTAAATGTCGTGTTATCTCCGGAAGTTGTTAAAGATATTTTGATCCAATTATATCTAACCCATAGGTAATTAACTTTTAGTTTTTATAATTTGTTTTATGCGTTATTAAAGTATTTTTAAACTCATTAAATTGCCTTTCTAAATTATTTGCTTAAATCACCACAATTTAGAAATTGAATGTAATTTGGTAAATTAGTCAATTAAATAAAAATTCGGCAAGATTTTCTTCATCCAGCCATCAAAACCGTTTTCTTTTCACAATATCTACTTGGTCTTAAAATTAAAAATTGTTAAATTCAAAAAAATTTATGCTTAACTAATTCACTCGACTAATCTACTCAACTAAAATTAAATATTTCCATCTTTGAAAATAAAAACCACAGAATAAAATGTAAACAACCAAAAAATCCTAAAAACCCAAAACTAAACAAAAGTAAAAGTAAAACCAGGCTAGAAAACTTTAGGGTCATAAATACTCGAACATGCTGTTCATGCCGCGAAAGATGTTGTTTCGGGTACATACATTGTTGACACAACTTGTCTCGTGCGCTTGTAGTTTCACTTATTTATAACAAGCGCGCACACCGCCGTTCGAACTTTTTCTGTCGGCTCTGATTTCGGAGCTTCTTGACACGTGTGACAGCTAAAACAAACACACTTTACACCCGCAACACGTGTCTAGTCTCTTTAAAAAGTGTTAAACCTAAAAATATCAATGAAATCA